TGTGGTCCACCATTCGGATTGATCTTCCTTCCATCGGAACTATGCTCCGTCAGCCCATCCATTAAGTTTTTAACGACAAAGTAATAAAATGAAATGAAAACTAAAATTTAAGTATGATTTTGAAAAAAATTAAATTTAAGTATTAAATGAGTAATTTACGGCAATAAAAGAACACTGTTCTCACACATCTTCCTCATCCAATTAGTTGTTTATAAACTACATAAAATTGACTACACATCTCCACAGATGAGCATTTGGTCATTTTATATTATTTTCCCACCTTCCAATTAAAAAAAATCTAAGTCCGACTCCGACTCTTTAACCAACATTATCCGTCATTGACCAATATTAGTGTAAGTCATTCGCTATTAATATGATCTAAGTCCACCATAAGTTTATGCAAAAGGTATCTTCATGGTTCTTTTTCTCCCCTTCAATAACTGCCCATGCAACTAGAAACTGATTATTTTCGTCTTTACCAACAGCCACGAGTAGTATTCCTGCGCAACAGATTTAAGAAAGTATCCACATCAACCGGAATTAACGGAGTGGTTCATCCCAGATGGAAGGTCAAGTATTGTGAGTAAAGGTAAAAGAAAGAAAAGTATGATTCACGTCGCCAAATGGGAGAAGCAATGCATTGGACAAAAGAGCATATAGATCCTTAATGAAAGGGAAAGGTCGTTGCCCTATCCATTACGCCTTGTAACTGTTGAATCTTCATTTTTCTACTTACAATAATGATAGGCATTGTGGACTTTAAGGTCTCCATCTCATAATTTTCCTCTCTAAACAAAACATCATAGTCGGATTCGGTTGACTAAAAATAATATGGGTAAACTACGTATTTAATACCTAAACTATTAGTTTTGATCTATTTTAGTACTTAAACTTTTAATGTTTTTCAAAAATTAACATTAAATTTTGAACGAGGTACTGAAATGAAACAAAAATTAATTTTTTTAATAGTGAGGTACTAAAATAAAACAAAAACTAAACTTTAGGTATGTTTAAAAAAATATTAAATTCGTAATTTACCCAAATATTATATTTTTTGTTATAAATTTGCGAGTGAAAATAAACAAATCTAGATTAATAAAAATATATATATCACATATAAAAGATGTTACTTTTTATTTCTATGCATGAGAAAATAAAAGCATTCTATCTAAAATAAATCTCAAAATTGGGTGTATATGTATCTCAAAATTATGAATATCATTACATTATTTTAGGTGTAATGTCAAAAAAAATTCTCCAAACATTTAATTAAATATTTTTTAAAATTTTTATGAAATATTTTGACCTATCGTTTCATTTTATAATAAAAATATCCCTAATATTTAATTAAATAGTCATTTTAGCTCTTATTTTTTTTCATGAAACATTTTCACCGTCAAACATTCTATTTTAGAGCAAAAAGTCTCATATTTTAGAACATTTATCGTTTGTTTACTAATAATTTTCATCCATTGAGAACTTTTTTATTAAAAATGAAATGTTAAGGGTCAAAGTGCTCCAAAAAGAATAAGAACTAAAATGACTACTTAATCAAACACCGAGAATATCTTTTAGGGTAAACTATGCATTCAGTACCTAAACTATCAGTTTTGGTCTATTTTAGCACCTAAACTTTCAAATATTTAAAACCATACCTAATATTTAGCTTTTGCTTTATTTTAGTATCTCATATTTATAACTTAACGCGATTAGTACCTAAACTATCAGTTTTGATCTGTTTTAGTATCTAAACTTTCATTTTTTCCCCAAAAAATTAATGTTAAATTTTGAACAAGGTACTAAAATGAAATAAAAACTAAACTTTAAGTACGGTTTTGAAAAAATTGAAAGTAGGTATTAAAATAGACCAAAACTGATAATTTAGATATTAAACGCATAATTTACCCTCTTTTTTTTTATCATTGTACCATTATTTTATCCCTTGAAGTTTGAACATTGCACTTGGTATATATAATGGCCATGTACCTGAACAGTTTGACCTAACTGAGGCTTGCATGACAGTGGCATAATGGGGAAAATATGTTCCATGACGCATAAAAAAGCAAAAGAGGAAAAGGGAAAAGGAAAGAAAAGCAAAGTTTGAAAGAATATGTTACACCACTTGGTTCAAAGTAAAATCTGGCTGCTGTTGTTTTATGCATGTATGAAAATGAATGTATTTGGATTTGATTGAGGTTATGGCTTGCAACCCGTGTCGGATCTAGAAATATTTTGTAGGGTGGGCACATATGTTTTAGTAACGAAAAAAATTCATATGGAATAGACAAATAATATTCAGGGTGAACACATTTAGTAAAATGAACAACTAACATAAAAATACTCGTATTCCAGGGTGGACATGTGCCCACCCTAGGTTCAATATAAATCCGCCACTGCTTACAACTAAATTTGTTGATCTTCGGACGTAAGATTTTATGTTAGGGGATGAATTTGAACTTTTAAAATTTTAAGTGGATGAACTTAAAAATCGAGTCAAACTTTGAATTCAACAAAATTTTCTTAAATCAAATTAGATGACAGGTGAAAGAGCGTTATACTCAAATCAGGATTGAGTGGGTCAAAAACTCAAACCGACCCGACCTATGATTATTTTTAATTGTAAGATGAAAATGCATAAAATGAAAATATCTTAAATATGGTTGGTATAGTACATTTTATATCCGAGATTTATAAATAAACTGGCGATGTAACTGTTTAAAGGAAATATTCAAAGCACTAAGGTTAAGAATTATAATGTTGTTGGAATGCTTTATTTGGCTTTATGGATCGTCCGAGACGTGAGATGTTGAAAGACATACCCTTCCCTGTTTGGGGAACAAAACATGGTTTGAATGTCTTTTTTAAGTCGCAACTAAAGTTATTTTTCCTCTCGTTTAATTTTTAACTCAGAAAATAAATTTAATGTGAATTTTTAATTAATATTTTTTCATCATTGATCATTACAATGCTAGCGTGACTATTTACGATGATGACACGACGTTTCACGATGTTGACCTGACATTTTATATGCTATGTTTGAGTTATTAATTTAGTTCATCTACCATGTTATTAACCATAATTGATTGTTATGTCAATATCGTGGACCGCCACGTCAATACAATAAACTACCACATCGTCATCATAACGGTCCACGACGAAAAATATGGGTTAAAGGGAACATTGAGTTTATTTTCGGAATTGAATGGTCATATTAAGAAATAAAATAACACGAATGTCACATTGATTTTTTCTTCTTAAAAAATATAGAGATATAATGATGTTTTTTGCCTTAATTTTTCTTAACATTTACAGTACGTAATTTAAAATATTAATTTTCTTAATATTTTCGGTTGAAGTAAAAATGTTACATTCTTTATAATAATGCGATTAAAATTATTTTTTTAAAAAGAAATTATTTTTTTAATTTTATCTCCCATATAATATTCAAATACAAATGAAAAAACAAAAATACAATGAGTGGGGATAAAGTGAGTACAGAATTATGCTCAGCACAGTTCATATATATATATATATATTATATAAGTTATTATATAATAACTTATGATAAAATTAAGCATAATGATAAAAAATATATTATACTCATAATTAAAGAATTTAAGTTTAAATATAAAACATAAATATTATTTCTCACATAAAACATAATTTTCTATCGTTGATGTGTTGTTTATCTTTTTTCTTTTTCGTCTTTGGGTCGACAACAACATCAACTTTAATGTTGGTTGTTGATCGTCGGTATTCTTTATCGCGTCTATATTTTCTTTTGTTTTTTGATTTCAATAAGTCTACGTGTATGACACGTTTTCATATGCCTGTATGATACGTTTTATTCTGTCTTTTGGCATATTTTTCTGTCGTTTGATCTTTTTTTAAGCGTTGATTTGATATCGCCACGACTAATTAAGATGATGCTCATCTGATATCTTGTTGATCTTCCCTGTTTTGTACCCTTTTATTAGATTTGGATACCCAATTTGCGTTCGTGAATAGTTTTTCACGCCGTTTGAGTCTAATTTGCGGTTTGCCAATGGTCTTTCAATAGTTTGATCCCTTATTATGGTTCGTTTACCAATCCAATTAGATCTGTTTGTACCTATCTTTGTTCGAGTTTCTTGGTTAGGTTTTTAATCTTCTTTGTATGACACTTATTTGATCTTAAGTTGTTAATTTTATTTCAATGATTATAGGAAAATGTCCTAATTATGTGTTTAATTTATGATTATGATTGTAAATCTTATTGTAATTTGAGATATTTTCTACTTTGAATAAAATTAGTTGCTTCTATAAAAAAAAGTACACAAATGGTCCCTTAACTATAGGTTACTGCTTTAATAATTCTCTTTACTATTAAAAGTTACAAAATAATCCTTTGACTATAGAGTGTTGATTTTGTTGAGTCTCTTGACTATCAAAAGTTACAAAATGCTCGCACGACTATTCATTATGTTTCAAACTTGTAATTTTCTGCTAAAAATTGACAGTTGTCTAAGCTGGACGTTAACATGATGAATGAGATGTGATAGTCATTTGAGATTCTAGGATCATATTTTATCATATCTCAAACATCACGTTAACGTCTAGCTTAGACAATTGTCAAATTTTAATATAAAATGACGAGTTTAGAACATAATGAATAGTCAGGTGACCATTTTGTAACTTTTGATTATCGAGGAACTTATTAAAGCAATACTCTAGTCGGGGGACCATTCTTATACTTTACCCAAAAAATAAAACATAAATGTTAACGGAAAAGACTATATTTATCATAAATCATAGCTAAACCAATTCCATTAAGATATTAAAGCTATGACAGGAAATTCATATTTATTATAAAATTCAGCGAAACACATGCTATTATGTAGCTTGTGCTCCCCTACACCATTCTCTCTCTTTATTTCTTTAAAAAAATGAAAATATATAATTAAAAGAAAGAAAAAAGGAAAAATTAAAAAATATATATAATTATTCACATATGCCTTATCTCATATTTCATTTACATATGATGAAGGCTTACGTTTGTTGAAAGTGCTTTTCTTGGGCGGTTTGCCAAGGCCACAGAAGCCACAGCCGGAAACCTCGGGAGAAGGCGGATCGATGACGGTCGATGCCGCCTCCACCATCCGTTGCATATGTGCATTGCCTCCGTCGGACCCGCTGCGTCTCATCATAGTGTCCGTTCCTCGATTTCTTTGAGCGTTACGCTTCATTAGGTCCAGGTCCCCTGATAGAAACTTGTCGTTCCATGTTAACCCGGACGAACCTTGCCTCCGGAACGACGTCGTCGACCTCTGTAATTTTGTCTCCATGATCTCGTTTTTTTCAATGAATGTGGTTGTTTTCACAGATTAATGATTTTGGGGATCATGCTGTTGTGTGTACATACGTGGTGTAACGAGAGGAAATGCCAGGCAAACGATGGGTTATTATTACCGTTCCATGCCATTTGCAGCCGTTGCGGACATATAATCGGATTTGATATATTTTTATAGCAAATTTAGAAAAAAAAAATACAAGAGAAAAATAAAATAAAAATACAATTAGATTATATTTTCCACTTTTCTTTTTATACTTAATTTAGATAATTACTATCGGGATGCGTTTGATTCATATAATGTAAGATTACCTTTGGAATAAGATTATCGGAATATAACATTATTCTGAGAATGTTATATTATCATATTTGATTTGCTTAACATGAATATAAGATTACAATATTTGGTTGGAGGAATTTAAGATTACTTGGATGTATATTTTACCAAATTATCCTTGTGATATATATATTTTTTAACAAGTAAAACTTTAATATTAAATTATAAATATTTATATAAAATTTTATAAAAATATTTTAATTATTACACTATCTAAGTTTAAATAAAAAAATACATTAAATGAGAACAAGAAACCACCACAATATTCAGTAAAGCAGGCAAAACCATGCTCAAAATAACCAACACACCCACTCCAACAACTGATGGCAGGGTAGTCGGTCATCATTTCATCGGTACAGGCCTTTGAAATGTATCATTTTACATTGTATGTCTCACTACAAATATTATTTTGATACCCCGATTTAGTGTTCTTTCAACAAACAATTTATTGCACAAAATTTATGTTAAAACCATCCTTGAATGCATGCCTCTCTATCATTCAAAATTTGTAGATCATTTGTTCGGTGTATCCGAGTTCTTGAGTATGCCTCTTAGCTGTGCATGTCAAGGAGGGTAAGTTTAGATACCAAAATTAGGATAACAATTAGGAATGGAGTAAAAAAAAAAACCAAACGTTTATTACCTCTCCTTGCGAAAAGTCTTTAGCCTTACCACCAGATATGTGTTCCATCATACCGGGTGGACCGCATACCTGCACAAACACATTGTTTAAGTGGGTGGATCTATTGAATGTTTATCAGTTGGATTGCTTAAGCGGGTGCTTTAAACTTGCAAAATGAAATCCTGGGATTATGGTCATTTTCCAAAGCCATGACCAGGTCTTCAACAACAAAAGTATCAGAATGTCAAGCACGGGTTGAGCTCTAAAATTCAAGAACATGACTACCTAAACAATGGTTCATTTAGACTAGTGTCGGAAAGGAGTTGGGATAACACATTGAAAGGTCAAGAACATGCATGATGTATGCTTATGAAAACTAACCCCACTTACAGTCTGCTCCTTGAGCCACTTAAATGGTACCCTCGGTTAGGTCTTAGTTTCACAATACCTCTTGTTTAAGGAAGCAAAAAACAAAATAAAAGCTTGAGCGTGCGTTTTGGGTTGTTTTAATTTTTTTTTCTATCTTTACAAATGGAGTAAAAAAATACTAGGCTTCTCGTTGCTGAATATGGATATCAGTACTTTGCCACGATTGAGCAAGAAACAGCAAAAGGGAACAAAAATGTATTTACAATTTTTTGAGGATGAAGCAGTGTTAAAGAAAAAAGGTTGAGAAACTTACAAGGATAAGAGTATCTTCAGCAGGAGAAGGTAAGCCTTTAGTGACCATATCCTTTGAAATGTACCCAGCACCTCCTTTCCAAGTTTTTGTTGGATTGTCTACAGTGTAGAATACCTGAGAAGAATGAAAAACGGAGAGAAGTAAAAGGAAAGAAGGAAGTTACTATTTGAACATGTTAAAAGTCGAGTAATTCACTGTAAAAACTTATCTTTATCCTGTAGGATTTATTACATATTTATACACGGACTGTAATCTTAACTTAGGAAACTCTTGAACTAGGAAAGTAACTAATTCTAGGGAAAGATACAATCCCTTAAAGTTAGGGATTATAACTATTAAAAGAATATTCACATAATCCTACATAATATTTCTAATTTAGAACTCTGTTTTCTGACAGAACAAAACATTTACCCATAGATAAACTATTTCATCATGAAAGAGTTCATACCTTAAGATTTGGTGGCTAGCAGCAAGTATATCAAGCTTCTGCTTGAGAAGTATATCATCAGGGGAGACATTGGCATAAAGAAGTGACACCTGATTGAATAAAAGTACAAACCACACTCATATATTATCCAAAACAAGCACTAAACAAATGGCATTCGACATAAAGCCGAAAGTTACGGTCGCAAATTTACAAATCAGAAAAGCGTACCTGAGTTTTGTCATCAGGGTTCTTCAGTATAGCCTCAATCACCTGAAGCATTGGAGTTATGCCCGTCCCACCTGCAATCTGGAACAACAGAACATAATTGAGTGCAAATGAAGATCATACTTCTTCAATAACCTTGGAAATTATGATACAGTAGTAATGATAACTAATACTATTCGGAACAATTAGCAAATGATTTGCCTAAACATGCAAAAATCAAAAGTGCACAAGTGATAATTGTAGAGAACACAAAATTAGGCATTGGATGAATTTTAGACATTAATTGTAAAGAACACAAGACATGCCATCAGCTATATAGCTGACATCAGGTTAAAAAGGAAAGTATATATATAAAATGTATTTCGAAAAACTGAATCTTTCAGCATAAAGTGTATTGATTCAATAGGGGTTATTGCTTCTTCTTTTTGTGGGGAAAAAAGTTAACAGGAAACTAGAAAACTAGATCTGACCATGCCAATGTGTTTCTTCATATTGGGAGAGTATCTAAGCTTTTCAATGGGCCTGAAAGTGATAAAAATATTCGATGTAAGATGGTTTTCAGCAAGATCTCTATAAAACTAGAATATATTGATATGTACCCTTTCACTTCAACTACATCGCCTGGTTTTAAGCTAGCAAAATGCGGACTCATTTTTCCTTCTGGATAAACCTGAAAATTTTAGTTCAAGTTGTGAAACACAATTCAACGTGTTCCATTGCATACATGAGGCATGTACACCTCCAAAGTGTAAGAATGAAAGAGAAAAAAAGAAGTTAAGGTATTTATCACTTCATACCTTCACTAACAAGTCAAAGTAGCCCTTAGCATCTGGGTCTGATATAGGAGTATACCTGATAATTCAAGTTATTGTAAAGCATATTTATGAATCAATATCTATTAAATTGAAGAACAAGTAGGCCGAAACATAATTTTGTATGCAAAAATAGTCAACTTAATCTTTTGTCTTCTGCATCAATGAATTTGGTGAAGAAATAGGCATAACAGGTTTAGTTTTGTTTAGAATGCCACAAGAAATTTTAATTTTAAACCATGCTAGGCTTGCACTACACCCAAGCTTCTCCACCTAACCGATTTAAAAGTTTTCAGCTATTTCCTTTGTTGATTAAAAGGATTACTTTAATAAAACTCCAGATAAGTAGTAACATCCATTATATGAATACTTGAAAATAAGCAATCATAAAGGTAATTTCGGTTTAAAAAAAACAGATGCAATAATCCCAGGATTTGGGGTATTTTCCTCTTTCTTATTTTGAAAATTTATGTAGACCGCTATAAATGTTACTGATTAGAAACTTTCATCTATTTCAATCTTATTCAAGACCTTATTTAGAAGTTTTCCCTCGCAGGAAAAAGATATTTACCACAACAAAAGTAAACTGAAATATGTAAGAAAATGAAATTGCACCATGGAATACAAGTAAAATAACCTAAAAATTTTAAATTAATAACAAATCACCATTTAGAATAATGTCCTTGAAAAGGGAGGTCCAAGTCAAACCACTAATGAGTTTAATAAGTAGTCTTACGGTCTTATGACATATTTGGTTTTCCTTCAGCATCTTGTCCTAATGGAGCCCTGCAGCAACAATAATGCATCATCATAGTGATGTATAGGCAGACTACTTCTTAATCTCATTTAGTAACTCCTCTTAAAGCAAGTTTCAAAATCGCTCACAAAAATAATGTTTCTCGTAAGCAATAAAGCACCTCTGCTTATATTCGAACATACCTTGTAAGGATGCACGAAGCAACATCCAAACCCAACTTTCATTGGGATCAAATGAAAACCTGCCAATTTTTGAAGAAAGTTAATAACAAAGGTACATGTTGCAGGACTGCTGGATGAGGAATTTAACAATGCAAAAGTTTAAGTTGTGATGCTGAATTTAAATTTAGATGAACAAGTTCTCTTTCAAGTTAGTGTCATATATATATATATATATATATATATATATATATTTGCTCTCAATAAGCAGGAAACAGTAGTTTTCTTGGTCTGGCAAAAATTCAATGAGAGAGATCCCAAAGATATTTAACTGCAAACAGAGGGTAGAACTTAAATTTTATCTACTTTTGTTCATAAAAGGTTCACACAAATGACCATGTCACTAATATAGCATAAATCAATCCATATATGAAACTGTTAATTAAAAGACAACTACCTGAACAAGTGAGTGTTATGACTAACTCTTGCAGTATCTTGCAACTTAAATTCAAGCCACTTATCAGGCTTCAAAGCTGCAAATCCCAAAACAAATATTCCGAGTTAAATACAACATAAAAAGGATAAAAAGAAACTGAAGCAATACATTATCATCTCTGCAACCACTTTCAGCATCATGATCGACTAATATTCGCCCTGGGGAGGGCTGAGGGCATGGGATTCATGAGGTAAACAGTTCAACAAAGTTGTGGAATTCAGTCATCTAATAATGATATAGTCTTCTAAAATTATGCTTACCAGCTTTTGGACCCGTTTCTTCATTGATTTGATCTAGATGAACCTGATCAGAAAGAATAACAAAACAATTACTAAATTTGGAATGTACAGAGTGCGTCAAAAAGTGGTAACACAAAAATGCTAAAAACTCAAACGAACTCGTATATGTAGGCCACATACAAATAGGTGAGCTTTTAAACATCAAATTTCTCAAGAAGACCAAATCACCTAGGTAACCTTTTCTGATTGAAAATTCAAAGCCCATAATAAGTATCAACATCCAACGCTCATTTCTACATCATAGCCTCCATATAACGCAACTTAAAAAAAATCCTATCTACACATTTCACCATTTACATAGCACATCAAAATGCAACCACAAGTAACCATTTCGATAATCAGAATCCCTTCGATTCCCAATCATCCCGCGTGCAACAAAGATCAAATGAGGTATATCCAATCCCTTCGATTTACTGAAAAACTCACCAAATTTGAATCGGAGAAGTAGTAAGTGCCCATCCCACCGGCAACGGCGGCGATGACCGCGAAGTGAAATCCAGCAAAACCCGACTTCGGTTGACTTACGAATGCGTGTTTAGAGCAGCAGGGAAGCTGTGGAGAGTCTCCTAAAGAAGGTAGCGGCCATTTTCGATCTTTTCAGCGCGGCGATCAAAGAACAATTGCCGAATTTTTTACGAGGGGAGGGTTTTAGGATTTTATATAGTGCGTAAAACAGCTTCGAAAAATTTCCAGTTTGCGGGAAGGAGGAATGATCTGGCGCTTGAGGTTGTTCGTTCGTAACGTGTTCATAACTATATGGTGCCACGTGTTTTTATATTGGGCTTTCAAACTGCTTCTACAAAAGCCCAAACTCAAGAGTCAATATTGTACTTTTTTTGCTTAAATCAAAGGCATAATGTCAAAACTAAAATAGTTGATCTAGTAAGATGAGACACTAAGTCCTTTAAGAAAGATCAGAGGTTTGAATTATGACGTTTACGAATGGAATAAACTGGGTTGAGAGGGTCGCCCTCTCTCTGCAATACCAGATCTAGATTAGTCGGTCAATAAATAAATAGAAGTGATTAATTTTAAAAAAAGGCATAATGCCAAAATTAGTCCTCCACATTTATAAAACTGGTCATTTTCTTTTATTTTATTTTTGGAGTATTTTGGCTCAACGTTTTATTTTAGGTCAAAAAGTCTTCTAACGTTAACAGAATAATCATTTTGTCATTTATTCTTTTTATTAGGGTATTTTATCTCTCAACGTTTCATTTTAGGTTAAAAAAATTCTATTTGAAGCGTTGATGCGTTAACTAATGATTTTCATCTGTAAACGAATTTTTGTCCCAAAGTGAAACGTTAGGGCCAAAATACTTAAAAATAAAATAAAAAAAAAAATCATTTTGATAAACGTTGAAATATGTTTTTGGTATTATGTCTAAATGTTAAGCATATTTAAAACATATACTTAAATATGTCAACTTGGATAATGTATTAAAAAATAATCCTATTAAATTTTAACGGTAGTCAATTTTTTGTTTACATGATAAATTTAAATTCTCCAAGTAATATAAGATCCAAATTGTTCGTTATTAAATTTAGGGTAAATTACACATTCAGTATCTAAACTATTAGTTTTGATCTATTTTAGTATTTAAACATTCATTTTTTTTCAAAATCATACTTAAAATTAGTTATTGTTTCATTTTAGTACCCACCGTTAAAAATTTAATGCGTTTAGTATCTAAACTATCAATTTTGGTCCTTTTTAGTACCTAAACTTTCAATTTATTTAAAATTTAACATTAAATTTTTAACAGTAGTACTAAAATGAAACAAACAACTAAACATTAGGTATGATTTAAAAAAATTGAAAGTTTAGGTACTAAAATGAAAAAAATTATAGTTTAGGTACTAAAGATGTAGTTTACCCTAAATTTTAATTAAGAAATTTTAAAATAAAAGGGTAAACTATAAGTTTAGTGTTTAAACTATCAGATTTTGTATGTTTTGTACCTAAAATTTAGTTTTATCTTATTTTAATACATTGCCATTAAAAACTTAATAGATTTAACACCTAAGATATTAGTTTTGGTCCGTGTAGAACCTAAACTATCAATTTGTTTTAAACTTAACGTTAAGTTTTTAATGAGCAGTAAAATGAAACAAAAACTAAAATATATATGGTTTTAAAAAATTAAAAATTATATACTAAAACAAACTAAGATTAATAATTTAAATACTAATACGTAATTTACCATACATAATCATTATTTCTAAATCATAAATTCCATTAAACACTTTTTGTAATTACAATTATTTTATAATATTTTCGTACCCACGCTATTACAATAGAACCTTTATACAATGAAAGAGGTTGTGCACTATTTAGAAATTAAAAATAGGAGTCCAAACTGTAATACTCTATTCTAAGAAAATTTGAGCATGCAATATATATATATATATATATATATATATATATATATTTATTATTATATTATCAAATTTAATTAATTTATTTTTTAAAATAATGGGTGTACAATAATTTATAAAGCCACGTATATCCATCCTGTGTGCAAGTGCAGGTAATGGCGTGGATACACCCGCCGCTATATCAGTCGATGCAGTTGCCTCCACCATAGCAGCAGCAGCAGCCGCCGCCGCAGGAAACAAAGAACAGTTGAAGAAGACCGACACGGGCGTGGCACCGGTCAACATCTGCGCAATGCGTAGAGGCTGCTGGGAAGAACGAACGTGATCATCTTGCTTCGTTGTGAGTTCCGCCGTTAATGTTCGTTTCACCTGATGAAACATGACTCTCACGGCTGCAGCAGCTACAGCTAGGATCTTCGTAATTTTATATATATTTTAATAAAAAATTCCCATATTTTTAACATTGAGCGGAACGGAGTGGCTCTGACATGAAACAAAGGGCGAAAGGAAGAAGATGATTGGATATCTATGCATTTAAAAGGAAAGAGCATCTGGTTCTTATCTTCTTACTCTTTATGTATAGTTCTACGTATTTGATGCTTAAAGTGATCTTAAATTATTGCTCCAAAAGAAGAAAAAAGAAAGAAACTCATGAAAACATAGTATTTTCCATGAATTTTTTATGAAACAAGGCTTTCATGTACCAAGAAACCTTTCTTTTTAGTGTCAGTGCTCAGTTACATGGGGAAAAAACTGACTCAGCGACATTGCAGAACAATCTTGTCATCAATTCCTAGGCATCCCCTGAAAATTCGAAAAAAATTAAGAAGAAAATGTCAGGAACAATGGGATTATGTTGGAGTTTGTTCGTTAATTGCCAAGATTTTCTTACCAAAGTCCCTTGGTGTCTTGCATTTGAAGCACTCCAGCCTGCTAGCATAGTTGTGGATCCACACCCATATCTGTGTGCACAAAATTTGCAGCCACGATTAACGTTTGGGGAGTGGGAAAATGAAGGAAAATATCAAGGGATTCATCAACAGAGACAATGCAGCTTTTCTGTTGCAAAACTCACCTAGTGCACATCCAATCACCAGTTTTCCACCCTGGGGGAACACTGCTTTCCGACCCCATCATACTATAACCTCCGTAATCGTTCTTAATGGTACCGCATCGATAACAGTTTGTTCGGCTAGCGTAGTTGTGAGCTCCACAACTCAGGGCAGTACAATACCAGTCGCCGCCATAACTTCGGTCCGGTTGTACAAGTAAGTCGATACATCGGGACCGCCGTACTTCGGGTACCCGCAGCGTTGGCAGGCTTCTCTCTTTTTGAAATTCTGGTGTTGGCATGCTGCACACATCCAATCTCCTCCAGACCAGCTCATTTCTTTTTAACTATATTCTACATACCAGGAAAAAATGAAATCAGCCCAGATTTTCATTAAAGCCTATGATAATTTCTGAAGAACACAAACATTTTAAAGGCAGAAAATAATTAACCTCTTGAAAACAAAAGGCCTGCAACTTTGATTTACTAAGTTCTTAGTGCAATTGTGCGATTCTGGTGTTTGGGGTGGAAGGGCCTATATATACATCATTTGTGGGGCCGTGGATGTTGCTTTGTCAACTATTTTTTTGTCTATAGGAAATATAGCTTAGCATTAATGCATGTTTTCAAATCACATGGTCCTATACATGCATGCATGCATGCATTCCAAATAGAATAACATAACTTGCCCCCTATAGCTCTTTATGTGATTCCCTATCATTATTGGTGTAAAACAATGTGGAACATTATTCTCTTCTCATCCATATTGCTACTAGCAACCAGGTGTTATGAGGGGATGTTATCTGGATACAGAGGCTGCTTCAACACGTCGCCGGAATCGTTCCTCCCACGTGCAAAGATGACGTATTCGTCCACGTGTGAAGATACATCGTGCTGACATGGACGGACACGTCATCAGATGCTAGAATGATTGTGGGTGGGGGGAGTTTGTGATCCAGCTAGCCAGATACACCTTCCTTGAGAAGGGTTAAGAAAAATGATGAAAATTTATGCTTCTTATTTGCATTTGGAATTTATTCTTTACAAATGCATATCCATTGCAAAACTTCCCTTTCGTTCCATGTTTCGTTTCCCTTTACCTGCAATAATTCAAAAGTCTTTGCAAGATTCACATTAATGGGACTCCTAGTGTAAGAGGAACAGATGTATGCATTCAATAAATAAATAAATAAATATAGTATTCGTTGACATAGTATCAGAAGTCTCTATACTTTAAAAAAAATCAATGTGTCTCTTGTATTATTTTTTCTTCCAATGTGACCTCCCAACTCAGAAAATAAACATAATGCGATCATTTGACCAACGTTTTTCGTCGTTAACTATTATGTTGCTGATGTGGCAATTCATGGTACTGATAAACCAAGGGACAGTAGGTGGGAGCAGTTGCCTCTGAAAATTTAAAATTGTCATATATTTTAGATTTTGTCTGTGTATTTTCTATTGAAAATTTATTTTCGTCCTCCTAGAATTTTAGTTCGCCCCTTAACATAAAATCATTCGTCCGTCCCTGGATGTGACGGTCCATGTTGCTGGCCTAGCAACCACAATGGTTGATAACGTGACGGATGACATGATAAATGGGCTAAATTAGTAACTCAAACATGACAGACGGGCTACCAAGTTAACATTGTGGACCGTCATGTTAATACTGTAAACTTCCACGTCAGCACCGTAACAGTCAACGATAGAAAATGTTGGTAAAAAAATCACATTAAACTTATTTTCCGAGTTGAAAGATCACGTTAGTAGATCTTGCTTATATATATACTTTTTTTCATAATATATTTTTATTTGAATATTGTATTTTAGTACCTACTTATATATCTCCCATATGTATCTTGCACCCTGACGCGTGTGGAATGTTCTGCTTCAGAATATGTCTGCGGCGAACCAACGCTGGAAGATTGATGGGTTTAGCTACTTATTATCCCCTATAATTTTATGCAATATTATACTTTTATATTTCTTTTCATATATTCGTGTTTGATATTTATATTTTATATATTTCTAATAAAAGTTTAAAATAATATATATATATATATATATATATATATATATATGATATTCGTCTTTGAATTATTTCGAATACAAAAGCATGCAGTGTGGTGAGCTGCATTACTTGACCGGCGGTAAAGTGTGTTTCAGTATTGGTACTGCCAAGATCCCTAAAGGCATGCCTTTTGCATGCAGCACGCCGAAGAAAGGCGTGCCAAAGGTATTGTCGTAATGGGAAATCAAGTTGACGTACAAACAATCACCCTTCCTTATTCCTTAACCACACTTGGCTTCATTCACGAATACATGAATTAGATTTAGACTTTCGAGTTAAATCGTATCGAATATTATACCTCTTCTGGATCTTCTCCGCAAGTTGTGCTTTCGTTGTTCCTTTTCAATTTTTCGAAGTCTTCTGAGGAACTCTACCGCTAATCGATAATCATTCTCTATGTGGATCGGAACTATTATCTATCGACATTATTACGTAATTTGTTAGAATCAAATCTATTATCTATCGGTTAAATCTATTTGACTTGTCAACCTACAAATAATCGTAGTGACTCTCACTCTTGACACCGCACTAAAGATTAATATATAAGTCATTGTTTGCGACTCTAAAAGGATCGGAACTTTCACCCCGTATCGTTTTCTTCAAGTCACTGAACTACCGACCGTAATTCTCCATTAAACAAAAAAAATGAAATTTCTATAACTATCACGACCACAATCCTCTCAACAAACATAGAATATGTTTTGACAAAAAAAAAATAGTTAATGACATCGGGCTTCTTCAAATTATGACAATCATTCTAAATTGATTCTTAAATTTTTAAATATTTTAATTTGATCACTAAATTATGACTATCATTCTAAATTTGTCCTTAAACTTTTAAATATTTCAGTTTATCCCTAAAGTATGATATTTATTATAAATTGATCCTTAAACTTTTTGAAAATTTCAATTTCCCAAATATATGTATATACTAATCACGTACATTGTTAATAAAATCGCTAGGCCATTTATATTATTATGTTTGAGAAAAAATTAGGTTGAACCAATTACATATTTGGAAATTTGGGGATGAAATTGGAAGATTCAATAGTTTGGGGACCAATTTTGAATGAGAATCATAGTTTGGGTATAAAATTGGAATTTTCAAAAGTTTAAGGATTAATTTAGAACGATAATCTTAGGTTGAGGATGAAATTAAAATATTCAAAAGTTTAAGGATCATTTTAGAATGAGGGTAATAATTTAAGGACATGTGATGCAAATAACTCGAAAAATAATAAACCATGGTTCACCCTAGCCATGGACAAGTCTTCATGGGATCTTTATTATCTTTATAAATTTCTCATTTCAAAGATTACAAACCACTTCTAATGTCCCATCTTGGCCTCATTGAACATGCCCTATGCTAGTTTAAGTCCACCGGCCAATAGAATATACTTCAACTTAAAATGTTTTTATGACCCAATTTGCAAGGTAAACCCCTCTCAAACTATATTACATAAAAATTAGTTGATCCTATTCTCATATGTAATGAGGGGAAGGTAAGATAGTAAGCTGCCCCCAATGCCAGGTGAGAGAAACTTCCGTAGAAGACCTCCGGTAGTTAAAATTATGAATTAACCACCGTGAGACTCGATCCCACGACCACAAGGTTAAGAGCCTTGCGCTCTACCAACTGAGCTAGACGGGCAACATATTCAACACCAAATGGGGCATAAATGCTTGATTGTTTAACAAATACATGTTTGATAAGAAGGAATCCTATAAAAAATGACCATTTCTTACCAGACAAGGTGAATATTCCTTTCAAGACAGGTCTATCTCCCCCCTCAATAATACTAGAGAGAATCTACATCCAATTAGGGGGTTAGCCGTTGCTTTTGAGCCTCGGATATTCTCTTCCATCTTTCGAGTGAATTGAGATTTTCTGTAATCGAATTCGGAACATCATTGGTTCGTTGACCCTTGTATAAGATGATTGACATTATCGTCTCGAAAAGTTTCGACTTTTCGATACTTGTTACGTGGCTATTATCCTTGGGGTTTCGAAGTGAGAAAATGACCTTGTGGCCCAGCATCTAACCGAGTTGGCACCAATATTGTACCGGATTAGCTAGTCGTTGTCGGACCATGTGGTGTAATCGTTGCACTGGACTCGGGTTCGTATTTCCCCCCCTTGATGGTGTTGTGGAATGAGCCACGGGTGCTTGGAAAATGTCTTCAATTTCATCATGGACATGAAGGTAAATGGATGGCCTTATGATGAGGCCCAATAAATGTATGACAATCGGTTAGTACCCAATGATGCAGTCAACATAGGGATGACAAACGAACCGTGCGGGTACGATACCCCTTCCTCTATTCTTATACAGTTCGTTTGAGAATGATTATGGAGTCATATTGGATTATAGTGTAAAGTACACAATGGTTTTCATGGTAGGAGGTTGTTTTATTAAATTTTTCGATTATACAAAGTTATAAATTGGTCCTCTAATTATAGATGTTTTTTGTTGAATTTTAACTATTAAAAGTTACAAATAGTCATTTTGACTATTCATTGTTCTAAACCATCTTTTTTGGGTTAAAAAATTGATGGTAGTTTAAGTTGGGGGTCAATTTGTTGACTGAGATATGATATAACATAATCATAGAATCTAAAACTATCATATCTCGGTCAGTAGGTTAACGTAACTTAAACTGTCGTCATTTTTTTAACGAAAAATGACAAGTCTAATACACAATGAATAGTCGGATGACAGTTTTGTAACTTTTAACAATCGAGGGACTTAATAAAGCAACATCCATAGTCAAGGGATCATTTTATAATTTTTAATAGTTGAGGGACTCAATAAAGAAATACCCTATAACCAATGGACCGTTTGTGTACTTTACCCAAGATTATATTGGAAATAGGAATAAAATCTTGAGCTTAATGATAACATATTTTATAATTAATATTTTTTATTTTTCTCTTTTAGAAAATTCGTAATATAAATAGCTGAAACTCCAATTACATAATCCCACGCGATGAAGTTCTCACTATATTTACCGCTCAACATTTCCCTTAGTTTTCGCCATTCTCACGGCGTTTTCATGGCGGAGCACCGCCGTAGCTCAGACACACGAACGGTTTCTTCGTTGCCTTTTCTCCATTCAAACGATTCATCTTCGATTTCTAAGCTCATTTACACTCGGAACGATCGTCCCTATTCATCGGTTTTGGAATCTTCGATTCAGAATCTGAGGTTCAACACAGCGGCGACACCGAAGCCACTACTTATCGTTACACCCTCCGATGCTTCCCATATTCAAGCAACGATTCACTGTTCGAAAATGAATGGTTTGCAAGTAAGAACTCGAAGCGGCGGCCATGATTTCGAGGGTCTTTCTTATGTTTCCGAAGCACCGTTGTTCTCATTGATTTGGTTAATCTCCGATTGGTCACACGACGTCGAAAACTGCGTCGCATGGGTTCAATCCGGTGCAACAGTAGGTGAACTGTATTACAAAATCAATGAGAAGAGTAAAACCTTTGCTTTTCCGGCCGCTTCCTGCCATACCGTCGGCATCGGTGGCTATATAAGCGGCGGAGGCTACGGTCCATTCTTCAGAAAAATACGGTCTAGCCGTTGACAACGTTATCGACGCTCACGTGATCGACGCAAACGGAAGAATCCTTGATCGAAAATCCATGGGAGAAGATTTGTTCTGGGCGATCCGAGGAGGCGCCGGAGGGAACTTCGGAATTGTCTCCGAATGGAAACTAAAGCTAGTTCCGGTTCCACCGACCGTCACCTTCTTCTACGTAACGAAAACCATGGAACAAAGAACAGCTCAACTGATACAACAATGGCAGTTCATCGCACACAAGTCCCCAAAGATATAATCTCCATCGTCAAATCTCAAAGGTAAACGAAACAATACAAGTTTCTTTCACCGGAATGTTTCTCGGAAAAGTTGAAGAACTCATCTCCCACATGGAATCAAAATTCCCAGAACTCGGATTAACGAAACAAAATTGCCTTGAAACAACCTGGATTCAAGGACTCTACAGGGCCAATTCCCAAACGATTCATTGAATATCTGTCACAGGACCGCGGCCAAAAGAGAAATGTTCAAAGTCAAATCAGATTGTCAAGAACCCATGCCAGAATCTGTATTCCATGAACTTGGCCAAAGTTCTTCAACGAAGAATTAGGACGATACGGTTCGCTTCTTCTTGTACCTTATGGAGGTATAATGGATGAGATACCAGAAACCAGACTCCATTTCCACACAGAGCTGGTAACCTGTACAAAATCGTGTACTATATCGGTCGAGAAGAAGACGAAAATCTGGTTTTCAAGGTACATAGATTGGATGAAGAGATTTTACGATAACATGACTCCATATGTATCGAAATCTCCGAGAGGAGTATGCGAATTACAGGGATTTGGATCTTGGGGTTAATAACAGGTCGGGGAAAACGAGTTATGCAGAAGCTAGGTTTGGGGTTTGAAGTACTTCAAGAACAATTTCGAAAGGTTGGTGAAGGTGACATTGGGGATCCTCAGAACTTCTTCAACCATGAACAAAGCATACCGTCTCTTTCATCTTTGTAGATGAAGGAGAGTTTACTATGGGATCTTAAATTTAAATAAAACCTTTGATGTTTACTTGTACAAAAAGTTACAAAGAAAAAATTATTATGGACACACATATATACATATATATATATATATATATTAAATTGGTCCTTAAATTTTTAAATATTCTAATTCATCTCTAAAATACCCTCATTTTAAATTAGTCCTTAATCTTTTGAATATTCCTCTTTCTAGAAAGGTACCCAAAGTTTTGAATATTCCAATTTGATCTCATATTCATCCATCTATATAATTAGCCTCAACCATAATTTAATCTAAGTTTTTTTCAAACATATAATAATATAATGTGGCCTATCGATTTTATTAACAATGGATGTGATTAGTATATAGGTATAGTTTGGGATGAAATTGGAATGTTCAACTAGTTTGGGGCCAATTTAGAATGAAGATTATAGTTTGAGATGAAATCGAAATGTTTAAAACTTTGAGGACTAATTTAAATTAATATTAATAGTCTATGGATGAAATTAGAACATTAAAAGTTAAGGACCAATTAAAAATGAAGGTCATACTTTAAATACATATGATGCAATTACTCTAAAAAAAATTACAAGAAGGATTATTTGGACATATATATATATATATATATATTATAATCATTTGTATCATAACTTAATTTACATAAAAACAAATTCAAGTTTTATAAATTTTACTTGATTCAAGAAAAATAATTAAAAAAATAATAAAATAAATGACTCAACTATTTAATTCAATCGAATACCCATCTTATCGGGTAAATTATGCGTTTAGTACCTAAATTTAATTTTTTTTCAAAATCATATTTAACGTTTAATTTTCATTTCATTTTTATACCCGTCGTCAAGAACTTAACGCTCTTAGTACTACTTAAACTATTAGTTTTTATCCATTTTAAAACCTAAACTTTAATTTTTTTTTTCTTCAAAACTTGTCGTTAAATTTTGAACGGGTATTAAATGAACAAAAACTAAAGTTTTTAACTGCAGGTACTAAAATGAAACAAAAATAAATTTTAAGTATGATATTGAAAAAATTGAAAGTTTAGGTACAAACCGACAAAAACTGATAATTTAAGTAATAAATTCATAATTCACCCATAATAATATTCCAAATTAACTACAAAAAAGTTTGAACAAAGGAGCTCTTGTTCTCATGTTCCATCACAGAATTCAAGCAAGGTCCATGCCATGGCCAATAATCAAAGCAAAATACACCAAGAGAAACTAACAATCCAGGTATGCAGATTATTCACTATACCATAACCACCTCCCAATTATGCAAAAACATTTTTTTCAGATTACATCCACGAGGCCGATTAACCCGCGAGTCCCAGTTTCGATGTGAACCAAGCGCAGACCTCGTCCATCTCCTCCGGGATCGTATAGTGGCCAAGCCTACATTGTTCATCGGACTCCGATAAAGTCGAGTTGTTGAAAATATACGAAAACAGGAAAGCTTTTCTGTTAGAATATGAAAATATGTACCCATTGTAGGATTTGAAGGTCGAGTTCTGAAATCCATTTGAACTTAGTGCCTGAGAAGATTTCTCACCAAATTTATATGGAACCACTTCATCTCCTGCAACCCAATCATGAAATCGTGACTAAAACGAGGGACAACTGATCGGTAACACGATCTAACCGCCGAACTAAATTAGCTAATTACCTAGTGTCTTAAATATGACCCAAAACCAGGTAAGGCCCTCGTATAAACTGAATGAACACAACATTAAGCTAGCAGTGGAAATACGGTGCTAGTACTGTTACTTGTACATTGATCCCTATGAAGCACTATTGTAGGTTACATCACTAGTTTTCGGGATTGCTTTCGAAACTATAAATACCTGACACCGTATCGGGCACGATCCCATGATAGCGTAAAGAAGGTGATATAAATACCTTTTCCATGGCATAGCAAAACGGGCAACGATGCAGCACGTCTTGCAGCTTCCTCATGTCCTCCCATTTTGCTTTTCAAAGTCCTACAAAAAAATAAGTTACAAAAAATAAACTAGACGAATTGCGGGGAAGCATAAGGTCATACGAGAAGGTGCAATGTCGGAGACCAACTTTGAGCACGGAAGCCATCCGCTAAGTCCTACAACTGCGCTCAAGTTGGCAGGATACGGATTGCCATTTCCATATTTTCCATGAATAAAACAGGTTGCGGAGTACAAAGCGGTGGCTGCACCCATACTGAAACCTCCAATACCAAGTTTAACTGTAATTGGGAAACGCTGCGATTAGAACAATGTCGAAAACAATTACAATAACTAAAACTTCCATGGCTAAAACCGAAAGATCAATGCAACATTGCATTGCCTGTAAGCCAAACTAATCAAGCAGCAACTTACTTAGCATCATAAAATCTAATAAAAGAGGTGCGAGGAAACATACTGTCAGCAGGCTCAGTTGACAACAAATTTGCAACATGTGCTGCAGCAGCATCCAAACCCTCTACATCATCCGCAGCATCTTCCGAAAGGTCTCCCACATCGAACCCTGATGAATGTCGTATTTCGAAGGACCGCCATCAAAGACAAAGGTCGAAGAGAGCAAAATTTAATTCGTCTAGTTCCCTTCATAAGCGATTGCATCAGTACAGAATTTTACAAATATACTTACAAGCAGTTGACGGAAAGCCACCAAATAAAGTTATTGGTCGAGTAGGTGCAGTTGGGCATATCCATTTAATCTGCACCAAAGAATCACAAGCACGAAAAATTATGATGTTATCAAGAAGAAACGAATCTATTAATTAATTGATGGAATATATTCTCCAAAACATCTTTGGCTACAATAATCATCCTTACATTCTGAAGAGGGAGGGTCTCCAAGAGCTGGGACCAGCTGACAACAAAACGAAACGATACATGGGGATGAGTATATATGTAAAAGACATCAAGCACTTTCTTTTTCACATCCTAGAGATTACAGATTATGAAGATAGGGAGACACGATAACTCGAGCAGAACCAATATAGTTTATAGGATGAAAAGATTCGCTGAAGACATTTATTAACATCTGAAGATATGAAACAGTGAAACATGAAGATGCAGTAACTTGCAATTTGAAGACTAGAACCACTTGGAAATCAACAGGTATTCATTTATTATCAGTGCAAATCGTAGTTTTGCACAAGCCTTATCGGCAAAAAGCAGCAATTCAAGACGAAAGCATAAAACAGATATGGATGAAAGAGGTTCTTTTGCATGCAAACAGTGCTATAATACAAGAACACAAATCGCATGGAGAAAGGAAACACCGTCTCATTAATATGCAAGATTACTAGACTAACAGAAAGGAAACACCTCAAACTTTCCGAAAGGAAGATAAACATAACATATTGAAGGTAATCACTTTGTCACTGCAAATAATAATCCATAGAAATAGTATCATGGCCCCAAGGGGCCAAATGATTTCTTGCTTCATCCAAAACAGACTGAAAAAGCAAGACACGGATGTTAAGCACATCTTAAATTCTAGGGACTATAGTAAACGGACGCAAGCTATCATCATTTTCCTTAAAAGATCTGCAAAATTGTTGAAGATAAGAACTAGAAATGATAATTCAACGCATAGAATCTATAAAACAGAATATACATGATATTTTGTCCTAAAATTGACAGTTAAGGAGAGATGAGGAATCCGAACGTTAAATCATCTTCTTTTCCTCGGGAAAACTAATTCAAATTACTGAAGGTATTGACAAATTAATCTCAAATTTATTAACAGAAAACTAGAATTAGAATCATAGAAAGCAATGGAAAGTTTATAATACCTTGAACCATTATCACCAAGGCCATGTAACCAAACTACGGTTGCTTCGTGCCTACCTTTGGGCCTAACCACATGGGTTTTTCCAAATTCAAATACCCCCCTTCTACCACCTGAAATTCGACAGGGCACAGTTATAATTAAACAAGAGGAGGCAAAACAGGCTTGTGAATATGTAGAAAATCTAATTCGCTCAACATAAACGGTAGATACCAATCTACCATGCCTACAACGACGAACCAATCGAATCAATTGCCTTGCAGACAATGTCAATACTTACACAAGCTTGCTGGTGAGCTATGATTACAGACATTACCCCTGTGAATAAAATGGAGCAAAGCAGATAAACTAACCAGAACCAACAGAAGAACCTGTGAAGCTCATATTATCCGACCGGAGTGGCACCAACTAGGCACTGATCCTGGAACGAAAGATATTTATTCAACATCTAGTGTCAGTTTAGCAAAGTGATTAATTTGCACTGCATTGAACTATAATAACAGAATCTACGGACAACAAAATCTTGTTTTAAAATGGGCAAATTACAACAAATCCATCATAGATTTTCTATCTGATCCTGATTACATATCTTTCAAAACCCTTGATGAAAATGGGGTTTGGCATCTAAATAAATGATGATATCCATTGCACATAATGAAACAGAAACAAAAACCTTAGCTGAAAATTCATAGGAAACTAAGATTATCAATAAGAATAAACCCCAAGATGGGAAAAGAATGAAACTTTAAAGGTCAGCTATTTTTAGGATTAACTGGTTGCAAAAATTAGAAAATTTAACTCCAAAAATTTCCCAAAATAAAAAGATGAAACTTTCAAAGAGAAGAGATCAAAAGGGAAGAAGGGGTTTCGAGTTTTAGGCAGTTTACCTTTCCACTGATACGGGATTTGAAGACTCCAATAGCAAAGCTTTAGACACCACCTAGGGGGGAAAAGATCTCTTCTTTGGTCCCAGTCCGAAGGCCAATTTTCTCCGATAATTTTGTTTGTAACTATTGGTGGGTAAATTCTCTATTTCATCCCTGAATTTGTTTTACTCTTATTTTGGTAAGTAAAGCTTAAACATTTAAATTTACTCATCGAACTTTGGTTTACTCTTATTTAGATCACTCGAGTGTTAAATCATAAATAAAACGATGACATCTAGTAACTTTCTATTTTTTATTTTATCTTTTTCATATCAGTGTTACAATTATTATTCTTTGATGTCTTCTCCAATCATTCAGATATCGACAAACATGTTTCATTGTCTCTACTACTCTATCAATTATATTTTATCTAATCACTTTAGAACCCATAAATCTCCCCAAAATTTAAATCTTGTGAACTTCAAGCCTCTTATTTGTAATATTCACCGATCAGTATGGAATCGAAATATACAACTCGCTTTCTTCTTCTCCGCCATTCACACTGTTGAGATTTAGAGGAAGATGCTTCATCATAGTGAAATTAAAGGGAATTCGAAACTAATTGTTTTTCACACACACAAAAATCTAACATTTAACGGTAGAGTGATCAAAATAAAGTAAATAAAAATCTTAAATATTAACTTTAAATTTTAGTGTCCAGAAAAAATGAGATAATAATTGAGTGATAAAATTTATAATTTAATCCAATTATTTTAAGTTTAGTTCTTCTCTGAAGTAAGGTTTGTCACATTATTTTTTTTTAGATTAAAATTTAATTTTAAAAGTTTAAATAAACTTTACTCTTTGTTTCTTTTAAAAAGCATTTAAGACAAATTTATTCATGTATTTAATTTATATTATCAACAAGATAGCATCGACAAAGTCGAATAACAACTTGATGACCATACCACATCAACGGATAAATCAAACGGAATCCGACAACTACAATGCTGATATTAACATACTTAACCACCTGCAACACTATGACATGTTGAAAATAAATTAAATCATGCATAAAGTTTATTTTTTACTATATTTTAATATTATGTTGTTAATTTTTGTTTTATTTTAACATCTCCTTCAAAATTTAACGTTAAATTTGAAAAAAATAAAACATTTAAGTACTAAAACGAATCAGAACTGATAATTTAGGTATAAACGTGTTAATTTTTTTAACGACGGAATACCAAAATGAAATAAAAACTAAACATTAAGTATAATTTTGAAAAAAAAAATTAAGTATTGAAACAAATAAAAATTAATAATTTAAATACTAAATGCGTAATTTATCCTTAAAAATAACACTATAACACATTGGGAAGAACACTAGAAAACCAATTTCTCGCAGGTAAGTGCAAAATTCGAGAGGATAAAGAGGAAGACAGGGTTGAATGTGAGACAATAAAAGATTCTCATAATTACAAGATTTTTTTTTCACGTATGTGTTATAGATATAATTATTTGAATTTAAATTCTTTAAAAAAAACATAACATTATCTTTTACCACTTACACCACTTAATGAATTCAGAGAACATATGCAAGGCCAACAGAGATGGTCTACAAGAGAAGACCGACCAAAAGGCGAACAAAACTAAGAAGCTAAACGGCATTTAGAACTTAGAAGGTATGCCAGAAGGACAAAAGGCAAAATCAAGCTGTGCACAACAGAAAAAGAGTAAATTATGTGTTTAATACCTAAACTGTTAATTTTGATCTGTTATATAAACTAAACTTTTAATTTTTCAAAATCATACCTAAGTTTATTTTTTGTTTCATTGCAATACTCGCCGTTAAAAACTTTAGTTTTTGTTTTATTATAGTACCCCATTCAAAATTTAATGTTAAATGTTAAATTTTTTGAAAGTTTAGGTACTAAAACGGACCAAAATTGATAGTTTAGGTATTAAACGGATTAAGTTTTTAACGACGGGTACTAAAATGAAATAAAAACTAAACTTTACGTATAGTTTTTGAAAAAATTAAAGTTTTGATATTAAAACTGACCAAACTGATAATTGGATACTAAATTCGTAGTTTATCCTAGAAAGAAAGAAGGAAAAAACTTAGTGCCGGCTAATCTGTCAACGGTAGTTGGGCTTATGATTCTTGCTTGTTTCTTGTCATTGTCACTAATAATCTTCCCACATAAAGCATCATTATGAACCTTGAGTACCTTGTTTTCGAGTTTTAACTTCGCGTTCCTCCTCCAACAGCCGTGGCACATCACTCTTAAGACGGCGCTCTTCCTTAATGAAGCGTTTTTCAGCCTTCAGCGTCTCGTTTTCGAGACGTAACGGATCAGCCTGCAATCAAAGCAACAGAGTAAAAGAATCTATACCAACACATGTACTTTAAAATGAGGATCTATACAACCTTATACCGAAGCCCAAATGGAATCAGTAATAACTATCATGAAATGCCAAGTAACAAATATGCAGTGATTTCTGCTGGGAACTAACAATTGTAGCAGTGGGTGTGATGTGATATGAAAAAGAAAAATATGCAATGTTGTAGGGTTACATTGTTTTGCTTAACCTTCAACTTTCTATATCCATTTTGTTCTCCCAGGCTGAACAAGGTAAAAAAAAAATTGATTACTTACACTATCTTAACTTTTGGATAAATTACGTGTTTAGTATATAAACTATCAGTTTTGGTCCGTTTTAGTACCTATACTTCAATTTTCAAATCATACCTAAAGTTAACTTTTGTTTCATTTTAGTACATGTTTCAAAATTTAACATTAAATTTTGAAGGGAAAAAACCAAAGTTAGGTACTGAAACGGATCAAACTAATAGTTTTAGATACTAAACACGTGAAGTTTTTAACGACGGATACTAAAATGAAACAAAAACTAAACATTATACTTGGTTTTGAAAAAATTAAAAGTTTAGGTATTAAAACGGATCAAAATTGATAGTTTATGTACTAAAAGCGTAGTTTACACTAACTTATTTAACCCGTTAAACTATGTTAATGGTTGCTTCTAAGATGGTTAGGCACCTATTTCAAACAAAAAAACACTTTAGGCAGCTAAAATATAGAAAAGGGTCACTTATTTTTTAATTAAGCTAAACTAAAAAAAAATACATTCATATGAAGAGCAACGAGAAAAGAGACATACAAGATACTGTGCAAGTGTTTCCAAAAGAACATTTTGTTTGTCATGGTTGTGCTTGAGCTGCAAAAGATCACTCCGCAGCTGATCAATCATTGCTGCTTGCTTTGTCAAGGTTTGATTCATTGAAGCATTATCCTTTCAATGACTGATTCTTCCTTTAAAGAATCATTTTCTCTAGCAAGGTTCTCCAAATTCAATTGCATTTGCACTTTGTTATTCTGTTTCCAAAGGAAAAGGAACATCATTAACTACACATCAATAGGAACAAAATCTTCATATGCATTGGGATTCCGCTTTTATTTAAATCTTCCTCTTATATTCTAACATTTTAAAACTGTGAATTTAGAACAGAATCAAAAAAGGCAAAATCCCAGAATGAAATTGAATCCTTTTCCCAAGGCATAATCCAAATTCTTTCAAGGGAAATGAGGCAAGAGACATCAGAAATAGGGCTGTAAATGAAAAACCGCACAGTTTGCAAGTTATTCAAGTTCAACTCACTCAACACTCGAATCGACGGGACTCGAGTTTTTAAAGAGTCGAAACGAACTAATTGATACCCTACTCGAAAAGAAATATATTAAATTTTAAATTAAATAATTAATAATATTAATATTTATATGTTTTTAAAATACAATATAAGGTTTTCATGTACTTAATGTTTATGTTCAAGTTTGAATTCGAGTTCGAGCTTCAATCAAACTAAGTCTGAGAATGTTTCGAATTCAAGTTCTTTCGAGCTCGAGTCGAAACTTCAGTTTTTTATTTTGAATTCGAGTCGAACTTGGTAATTTTAATCTGACCAATTTTCGAGTCAAGTCAAGCTTAGCTTTGAACTTTTCAGGTGGAGTGAAACTCGACCCGACTCATTTACAGCCACATTGAGATAGTATCCTAACCTTCACTCTTTCGCGATATGCCTGGTCAATTAGCCTTTTCCTCTCATTTCGATCAGTTACAGATAAATTCGATTGGCTTTTTCTCAAAGCTCTGGAACCAAAAGTGTTTGGAGACAGAGATGCTGGACTGTGCTGCTTCCATTAGTCTGGTTCAGGGAACACCACTGCTTCTCCGGGATGATTGTGTTGGTATTAAAGATCCTTGATTCCATGCTTGTAGCTGAAAAAAAAAGTTTGAAATCAAACCAAATTTGAATACAACCAAAATCTCTGAAACCTATCCAAACACTACAATTTCAGTATTCTAGCCATAAACCGGCGAGGTATCTTGATGAATTATCAGAAAAATTGAAGATCATTAAGTCAACGAAGCAATCTAAAACATATGAAGAAGAAGAAAAAACAAATGAAAATCTTACATTTTGTTCAACGTGATAAGATGAATCGGAGAGCAACTGGCTCCAAAAGTGATCCATGGAACGTATCGTCTCGTCAACAAAAAAAAATAGATAGATCGAAATACGAGTGCCGTATTTAAAGCGAGAGAGTGGTGACTTGCGACCTCGCCGTATGTTGTGTCGATGGCGTCGTTGACTTGCGATACATCGTGCATATAGCGTTGAATCGCGCGATTTTCTTTCGTGATCGGACCTTGGGGAAGAAGAAAGCTCTGGAGATTCCGTTTGACTGATCGACTAAAATTGAGATGCCATGGCCAATCCCACATTATCAAATCTGCTGGGCTTGGGCTGGTATTTAACTCTTATATGTTGCGCTTTAATTTGATTGTTTTCTAAATACAATAATGAGGCCGAAGTCAGTTTATACATTAAGCCCACATAAAGAAGATTATTAGAATCACGGAGTGATGAGAAATTATTTTCTATTCGGTTCACCACGTCATCTAGGGATGGGCATGATATTCGAACTTGACGGGTTCCCATCTAATCGGGTCAGTTTTTTATTAAAAATCGATTTCGGGTTCGGGTCGGTTCGGGTTTAGGGTAAAAAATCCAACCGACCCGAAAAAATATAATTTTACTTATATATTTAGGAATAATTAATAATAAATCTCTATATATTATTATTTTTTTCAATTAAGTCACTTTTTTTATTTAATAAAAATAATATTTTTTATTATTTCAGATTAGTTTTTTAAGTTATATATCGGGTCGGGTCGGGTCGGGTGGAATCTTGTTTTGGTCGGTCGGGTCGGGTCGGATCTCGGGTGGAGGATTTCTTGTTCTCGGGTCGGGTCCGGTGGACCAAAAAACCGATTCAGGCCCATCCCTAACGTCATCTATGGTTTCAGTGAATCATATTTATTAATTTTAAACAATTTCTAAATAATTGTCAACTCCTTAATTACACGTAAGAAAGAGGTGAAGGTTCACCTTAAAAAAATGAGATGAAAAAATGTTATTAGTTGGTACCACAAATAACTTGGTGAGCCGGATCCATCTAATAATTTTTCCGAAGTAAGAGTAAGAAAAGAGTTGTAGATTAATGTTTGAAAACTTAGATGGAAATTAGTTTCCCGTTTATTTTTTTATCGAAATTTCAAGTTCAATATCTCATCTTTAAAAATTTTAATACACAATTTTTATATCAGAAAGAAAAAAAATGACGTCATAAAATTTATTCACATCGATAAGATACATCTTATCAAACATGTTTTGAGAAAAAGATAATGACCTCATGACAAGTGATGCTCGAATAATTCTTTAACAATTTATTTTTACGCTAATCATTCTAGTGGGTGAAACAAAAAAGATAGATAATTACGATGATGACTTCTAACAAGAACATCACAAAATCGAATAAGGGAGAATGTCACTTATTAAAAAAGATGAAGGCATAAATTTCATATCAAAAAAGAAAAGAAAAATATTTTTTTGAATAACTTCTATCTAGGATGACGAAGGTTGAAAATTTTAACCACGTGTTTCAGAGATTGTTGAAAAAAAACCTCTTAAAATTTATAAATAATTAAGATACATATTCCGTCAATATATCTTTTGAGTATAAAATAATGATTTAAAATAATTAATAAATTATTTAAAATCATCCATAATATTTAAATTTCAAAATGACTTCCAATTTAACATAAAACGCTATTTTTCTCATTATTTTTCCTAAATAAATTAAAAAAAGAAGAGAGAGAGAGAGAGAGAGAGAGTACAGAATGAACACAATAAGATTGGAACAGGCAATCACAACCACAACAAAGGTATTCTTAGGCAGTTGGTAACTTGGCATAGAAAGCCTACCATATTATTCCTTGTATTATACTCAATTTTCCATTATTCTTCTTCTCCAAAATAATCAAAAAATAAAAAAAATAAATAAAATAAAAATTAAATCTTTAAAACGCCATATATACTAATTTCTCCTCAATCAAAATTTCATATGAACAAATTAAATTCTTAAGCACTGAGAAACGGAAAATAATCTTCTTTTTTGTGTTTCTCTCTTCAATCCTCCACCAAAGGTTAGTGTTCGTCCTCAATTTTTGATGATTTGAAGTATTCATTTTATTTTCATTGTATATTTCTGATTCTGATTGTGAAGAACTTTCGTTTTTGTTTGATTTGCTGCTTTATGTCCTTTTTTTCCTTTTGTAATTGTTGTTATTTTTCCCCCTTCTGTTTGGCTACCGAGAAAATGTGGATACGTAGGCAGAAAGGAAGAAAGGTGGTTGAATGTGTTTATTGATTTTTTTATTGTTCTTAATTCTGATTTTGAAGGTAGGAAGAGTTTGAACTTAGCAGATCACTTTAAATTTTCCCCGGAAATTTTGATTTCCTTTTTCCTGCATTTTCTTGCGCACCAAACAGACTCCTGACTGTTTTGTTTTGTTTATTTACTTTAGACTAATTTTACAAGTATGAATAACGCTCTCATTAGATCTTTTTGTTGTTCTTTTTCGTTTAAAATGTTTTTTTCCCATAATTCAAAGCATGAATAACGTTCGCTAGATATTTTGATTGTATTCGTGTTTTGTTTAGTGTTTAATTTTTTTATGAACTAATCATCTCATTCATTTGTCAACGTCTTTTGCAGTCAAATAGGGATCATGAGATTCAAGAAAGGGACCAAAGTAGAAGTCTTGAGCAGAAAAGAGGTGCCATCGGGCTCCTGGCATTGTGCTGAAATAATCAGTGGCAATGGCCACAACTACAAAGTTAGATATGAAGGTTATTCCGATGCAACTAACGAGACGATCATGGAGAGGGTATCTAGGAAAGCTATTAGACCTTGTCCTCCTGCACCAGCAGTTTCATATAATTGGGTTCCTGGTGATATTGTTGAGGTTTTTGACAACTTTTCTTGGAAGATGGCAACAGTTTTAGCGATTTTGGAGAAAAAGTACATTTTCGTTAGGTTGCTTGGATCATCTCTGGAATTTAAGGTCAGTAAATTTGATGTCCGTGTGAGACAATCATGGCAAGACAATGAATGGGTTGTGATCGGAAAGGTACTTCCTATCTTAATCTATGTTCCTCCTGCATTTGAAAATTTTAAGTTTTCAAAGCTATTTCAGCATTCACTTTTTTCCAGTTGAATGAATTTATGTTATACAAGGTTTTTATATACTCATGTTCATCTTTAGTTTCCAAATGTATTTCATGTTTTTGTAAGTTGGAGTTAGCTTGAATATTCTCATTTGTCTAATCTAAATGGCATCCCTTCATTTGGTCAGTAATCATTCTTGATCTAAGTACCATCTATATTTCTATTAAGTTATGACAAATGTGATGTCATATGTTTGGTTCTTGTTCCACAAGCCAAGATATTCATTTATTATTTATGTCTACATGCAGGGTTCTGGCAGTTGTGAACATGTGAAACACGGTGAAAACTCCACTCTTAGATACAACCAAAAGTCTAGCACCCAATTTCAAAATACCATTAGAAGGACAAATAGGTATGTGAAGGATGAATGTGTTCCTGTTAACACGAAGGTTAATTACCAAGATTCTGTTATTGCTTCCTCAAAAACTCTAAAGAGAGGATGCTACTCTCATGTTGAAGCTCATGCTGCTGGTAGACAGAAGCTTAGAGCAGTTGAGAGAAATAAAAGATTGTACCGACTGGTTGTTGCAAATCCATCCATTCTTGAACAGGTAGATGCTGTTGCTTTCCCAAGAGATATGTTGGGTGAAACATACATACATGCTTCTCTTAACAGCAGAACGGGGTTGTCCGAAGTGCATGGAGACAGGAGAAGACCAAATGGTGCTGTTGGATGTTATTTTGCTGAGCATTTAGAAACGAATGACGCTGATAATGTTACATGCTCTGTTGGTAGTTGTAGTGTGAGTAGTAAAATTTCTATAGGTTACCTCATATTGTTCCTACAGGTCCTATTGAAGTTGATGATGGTGAATGGAGTGATGCTGAGTCTTTTTGTCCAAGGGGAGACAAGGAAGGAATTGTCCTCCTACAAAAGAAGAACTAGCTGCCAAGATCCATAAGATAGAGTTACATGCCTATCGTTGCATTTTGGAGGCCTTGTATGCATCAGGGACTTTAAGTTGGGAACAAGAAACTTTAGTGACAAATCTTCGTCTTTCACTTCATATATCTAATGATGAGCACTTGATGGAGCTAAGAAACTTAGTTTCCGCTGATAGCAGCATTCCTATAAGATAACATGGAGTGTCTGTGCCCCCCCCCCCCTTTTGTTTCTTCCCTTAGAATTAGACTTGGATAAATAATTACACTGGTGGCTACCTCAATTGTATCAAGCTTGATGAAATATGCTATCAATTTTCCTCATTTACATATAGAGCATATAGTGATATTTTGAAATGAAGGTAACACAACAGAAACTGAAGACCGTTAAATGTTTCTGAGATAAGCATTGTGTATCAGTTCTTCCATCCTTTCTTCTCTCCCTCATTTGTACATTTACTTTAGCAAACAGAACTTTGAGAAATAGCATATCGGGAATTTTCCAACAATTGAGCAGATATCAAGAATGCATTTTTCTGATTGTTCTCTTCTGTATATTTCTTGCACAACTGAAGTATTTATGTTTTTCTTGATATTTGATTTGATTATGAAGGAAATATGTGTCAAGCTTTCATATCGATGTCAATGCTCTCAGGGTATAATACTCTGTTTAAAAAATAATCGTTCTCGGGTTGAGGTAATTGATGCTTCCCCCTGTATTTTCCACGGCAGAGGAGGCTTAGACACTTCCTGCTAAATGCATGAACTCTGAAGATGATTTCTGGGTTTGGCACCTTTCTCTTGCTTTTCAACAGTGAGGAAATTATTTCGAGGAACTAATTTCATTAGTATGCGGCTCACTGGATTCTTCTATTTCAGGTCTCATGTGAGCCCTAGGTATCTGTGTTCCTGAAGGATGTAAGATCCGAATCTTGTGGGTGCCATGGGATGACCTAATATCTGGAATTCTCCAAAAGGTTTTATTTTGGATCTTTTTATAAGCTTATAAATGATGTGTTGTGACACTCTGCTGGGCCATGCATGTTTCACTTTGTTTGCTGCAAAGTAATCTTGCTGAGATCTCTACTTCTCGTGCATTCTGTATCTTCATTTCATAATTTAACGTTTTCGTTTCTGCTTGTTGATAATGGATGGACTGAAATTTTTAACAGGATCGGTAATGATCTTGCATGCATCGGATAAAAATCGAAAAGACATCTTTTTTGAGCATAATGGCCACATGACATCTCTTTGTTCAAGCCATTTGAATGGCTGTAAAATAGAAATGTATTAGCTGATCTGTGAAGGTAGCTCCTTGTGTGCAGTTTTTGCCTGTTAAGCCCGAGTCTGCTTTTCGATTTCTCGAAACAATGTTAGAAGATCCTATTGTTTCTATCCAGATAGGATATTTATCAGGCATGACCGAAATCATTACTAGAGTTATTTGTTTCACAATCGAATAAGCATGTTGTCTGTTCATTAACATGCACAAGGAAAATTGAATGCGACACGGTAGCATTTCCCAGTAGCTGTTTTCCTTAGGTGGCGTTTGGTTGGATGGAATCCCTTGGAATTGGTGGGAATTGGAATCCAATTCCACCACTTTCCCATGTTTGGTTCAAGTTTTTCAAGAGAATTGGAATCTCTGATGGAATTCAATTCCATCAAATGAGGGAAAGTGAATTCCATCCAAAAATGGATGGAATTCAATTCCCTTGTTGGAGGGAATTGAAATTTGATCATACTACTCTCATCAATCCTTTGGTAACTTATTCATATTGAATAAAATATTTTTTTTATTATTTCGGGTCGGGGGTTTCTAGTTCATATATTCGGGTCGGGTCAGGTCGAGTGAAACTTTATTTGGTCATGTCGGATCGGGTTTTTTTAAGTGTGATATTCGGGTCGGGTCGGGTTCGGGTTTAGGGTGAAAAAAAAACCGGACCGACCCAAAAATATATAATTCAGGTCGGGTCGAATTAAGTCACTATTTTTATTAAATAGAAATATTTTTGGTATATTTTTTCTAACTAATTAACATACTCCGATTGGAATGTATTGAAACATTGCTCTATCTTTTGGTAACTTATTAACATATTTTGATTGCGATGATTTTAACTTCTAATGTTCATTAGCATGATTTTTATAATTTATTGAAATGAATAATCAATCAATAAAATGAAAATTTAATATTTTTTATTTTTTATATATATTACTATGTAAGTTGTAAAATAAACTAAAATAAAGCAAAAAAGAAGAAGGGAAATTTTGTCATTTTAAATTACTGAAATCAAATTCATCTGTATGTGAATCAAACAGAATATGGAATTGGATTCCAATTCTTACAGATTTCAATTACAGATTATAATTCCTTCACAGATTTCAATTCTCCTATAAACATTCCAGCAAACCAAACGTCACCTTAGATAAATGCATCACTGTCTACTGAATTATTCCCTTTTTTACCATGGAAATTGTTTACAAGGGAGTTTCTCATCATAAGTCATCATTTAGCTTACGGTAACGACGTCGTCTTACTGTAATAAAACTAATTACAATCGATACATTCTGTAGGGTTACATAGCATTCAAAACTTGTGTCCATTGTTCATCTTGCCATGGAGTATTGCTTGTATTCGAACATATATTGATTGAGATGTGATAAAATCTGATCAAAGAATCTGAAATAATTATACAACTCAACGGTTCTAGGATCATATTTTATCAAATCTTAGTCAGCAGGATAACGTTCAACTCAGAATGACTTCAATTTTTTAACAAAAAAAATGAGTTTTGAACATATAAATAGTTGAGTGACCATTTTGCAACTTTTATAGTCTATAACTCAACAAAACATTGTCCTAAAATCGAGGACCATTTAGTAGCCTTTAATTATCGGAGACTCAATAAACAATATTATATTCGATAACCGTTTGCGTAGTTTACTTCAAATTATTATATGTATATTTAAGTTTTGTGTTGTTTTCAATTCTCATAAGTATAGTTAGGCCTATAAATGAATCGAACAAACACGAACGACAATGTGTTCATGTTCGTTCATTTAACTTTAATCGATAAATGAACGAACACGAACAACTACTGATTTTGTTCCTAATGATATAAAATTATATAGATTTCATATTAACATTTATAGTTAAAATACATGATTTTGTGTTCTAACTCTGATACCCTTTGGATGAACTGTCTCCAACTTCAATCTTGTATTAAGATTATAAACATTAGATATGAAATACTAATATTAAAAAACCATACTACACTTTCAATCTTGTATAACAAACTAAATGATTTAATTAATACTCGGTTCGAAAAGCTAACGAGGAATTTGACAAAAAATATATATTAAAATTTTATTTTTAAAAAATTAATTTATTAATAACATTAATTTTTATGTTTAATATTTAAAAAAATATAGTAAAAAATTTTCTTCTACTTAAGGTTCATGTTCAATTTGAATTTGATGTTAAAATCTGAATTTGAGCTTCAATCGAGTTAAGTTTAAGATTTTTCTTTTAATTTGACTTTGACGAGCTTTTTCGAGTTTCAATTCATGATTTCGAGTTCCAACCTAAAAGTCTTAGACTCACGAGTTTTCAAGTCGAACCGTCTTCATTTTAGAGTTTTCAAATCAGATCCACAATACTCGAGCTCGATTACAACCCTAAGCACCACCATCGATATAAATATCCAGTTAATTGAACTTTGACAGAGCCATCATTGGCGAATAGTGATCTGTGGGACAGAAATTTAAGAACACGTGAAGGGACAGTAGGGTTTGAGCTCTTAATAATTAAGGTTTTGAATATCGGTTTAGGGTTTAAGAAATTGATCAGAACCCTCAGGTATAACAACCTTGAAAATTATTCTTGACCCTTTGTATGAACCGTCCCGTACATTCAATTTCGTGTTAACATTATAAAATTAGATATGAAATATGTGGACGTGGAAATTGAAGAACAAGTGAATGGACAGTAGGGTTTTGAGTTCGTAATAATTAGGGTTTTGAATGTTGGTTTAGGGTTCAAGAAAATAAGGATCATTGTACTATTAATTAATAGATCTATCGTACTTATAGGTGTATTCGGTTCGGTTCAGTTCGATTTTTTACAAAAAATTGAATCGAATCGAAATAAACAGATTTTCATATTTAAACCGAAATCGAATAGTTAAAAACCCGAAAAAAACCGAAACCGATTTTTTCGGTTTCGGTTCGATTTTTTAACGGTTCAAGTTTTCAATTCGATTCGATTTTTCAGTTTTTCAATAAAAAAAATCACTTGAAACTATTTTTTTTACAAAAATTGCCTATTCGGTTCAATAGAACAAATGAATTCCATATAAAAAATCCGAACCGAACCGAATAAAAAAATAAAACTTTTAAATCGAACCGAAAACCGAACTATTTAAAGCCAAACCAAACCGAACCATTTTACTCGACTCGTGTCGATTTTCGATTTTCTCAGTTTCGTTGCTCAACCCTAATCGTACTTGGTCCATAAGTACTTATAACTCGGCTCTAACAAATTATTAAACGGTCCAATTCACACTTTGATATAAACAACTTTCAAAATTATCTACCTTCAAATCAATTTAAGTAAAATATTATTCAAAACTATAAATTCAATTTTTGTTTTACTTTAATCATTATTTAGAATTTAATGATAAGTTTTAAAAATATTAAAAATTTAATATTAACGGAAAATATAATAACTTAAGTACTAAACGAGTTATGTTTATACCAATAAGGTACAAAAATTTAATTAAAAAATATTAAATATAATTTTAAAAACTAAGTTTTGATATGTACTATAAAGTACTAAATGCATAGTTAGTACTATTTAAAATAGGAACATTTCAAATACAGTTTTCGAGATCGACAGGCATAACGAAGAGAATGAAAAATCAGAGCAAATGGAAATTCCAATTTCTTTTCAAGAAAATCTCGTAATGCATCTACTTGAGGAGGCAAAATCCAAAACACCGACAATAAGCATAAAAGTCAAAACCAACCATCCAAGATCCACCGTCCGTAACAACAATTATATTCGAAAATTTCTAAAATGGAGCTCAAAACATCAACCCCTATTTCTTCCCACTTGATAAACACAAATCCAACTGAGCTAAAAATGAAAAATGCAGGCACAAGCACTGAAATCACCTCTATTCGAATGCGTCATCGTCATCTGGAAGAGGCTGACTGGCTGCCGCTGCAAGCTCAGCCTCATGCCTACACAAACCAATCAATCAACACAAGTGTTAACCAATGCCTCCTAATCCAGGTTAACCAAAAGATAAAACCGAAAAACAAGTATCACGAGGATTATCTCATACTGTTGCTGGGCAGCCAAGTCAATGTGAACTTCAGGAGGAGCAAGAGCAGGCGACTCAACAAAATGAAGATTGGGGTCACTGAAATCATCAAGACGTTATCGATATTAGGCATCGAACAAATCATCAACATTACAACATTAATTATGTGGTAAATGCAATTTCATATTACCCGGCGAGCTTCCTAGCAAGGTACAAGAAAGGCTTCTCAAAATATAGTTGCTCTTGGCAGAAATTCATAGTATTGCAGGTTCTTCTTCCTATGGAATGTGACCTGCTTTGCTTTGACCTGCCTGTTCTTTACATCAACCTTGTTACGCAGAGAACAATAGGAATATTCTCACACACCCTGTATTAGCAAAATAGAACTTTTAACATAAGCCTGTACACATAAGCCTAAACAGGTGAAGATTGTCAATCCCAAACACCTGCAAAGATCACGATGCCATGTAGGAACATTCTTGTACGTCAACCGGGCAGTAACATCAAACATAATAATGGCACATTGCCCATGGATGCTGCAACACAAGATAAAAAATAGTAAGAAAATCACTCACAATGCAAATAAGCTTAACATACGCTGAACAAAACAAAATGGTCATGAAAGTTACGGCATAAGCCAACGATACAGAGACTAAACATGCACGCCAAAACCTAGCTACAAATAAGACATCATAAAGTTTATACAATAACACTAAAAAGACATTCATCTGGCATTACTCATCAATGATGGAAGACCACTTAACAATTAATCAAAAAGTTGCAGAATTCATAAAATTACTTACTAGTAACCATCTCGAGACCACCCAAACTTTTCTTGACCAGCAGTATCCAGCAATAAAACGGATTTCCCACAGTTAGTGAAGAAGTCCAATGGGTGAACCTCCACACCAATGGTTGCTGCATATTCAAGATGATAAAACGCCCAAGTAACATTTATATCAAGGCACTCAATTTGCTCAAGCAGTACCAAAAACAAAACAAAGCTTTTAAAAACACTTACGCTCGTATTTCTTTTCAAACTCTCCAGTTAGATGCCTCTTCACGAAAGTGGTCTTTCCTGGCACCAATCACAAAAAGTTAGAGCAATTCCAAAACAATGAGAAATTATTTACTTAGATTCTAAACTGAAACAAAAGTGAATATTATAGATATATATTCAAGAAACAACATTTATTAATTATTAAAATGTATACAGATTAAAAAAAACATGGAAATGAAAAGGTATAATGATACTCATTTTCTCTTAAATATATCTTTTAATTCAAAATCCCAGCTATTAGCATCAAATCATAACAGTTCGAACCGACGATGACGAGCAAAACATTGTAAATCGAATCTGCATGAAAAAGGAAATGAAATTACCAGTTCCTCATCGCCGACGATGACGAGCTTGAAGCTCGGATAATCAACAGTTTGCTGATTAGGCAAGCTGCGCAAATCAACAACAAAAAACAAAAATCAAGATCTATCTCGAAACTAAAAACTGCATATTACAGTCAAGATACTGAAACAACAATGAGATAAAAGCAATAATTAAGAGAGAGATCGAAGATTTCACCATCGATCGCTGAGCAACAAAGAGAGGAGAAATGAATCTGCAAATCTTGCGTTTGTCGGCGAAATAAGAGGGATCGGAGCGCGAGTGAATTTGGAGACGGCGATGGGCGTGTGTGTTTTTATAAGATGAGGGCTTTTGTGGAGTCTAAAAGCTCGGTCTTAGCCTTAGGCCCCGGCTTTAAATTGACGCAACTCTCTGTGCCGTTGGATTGGATTAATCTCCACCGTTTTCTATCATCTAATCCTCTCCGCCGTCCGATCATTTCTCCCTGGGGTCCACTTCCATTATGCCGCGCTAATACATTTTTTTATTTAGATTTTCAAGGAACAGATGGCAATTTAGTAAATATCATTTTGGCATTTATAAAAGAAAAACGTACGTTTTGCTAGCTCCAGCTTAATTTCAAAGCAGTTTAAAGTCCTTTTATTATTATTTTCCCCTTACTTTTTTTATTAACGGTAAATTAACGTTTCTCACTGAACTTTAATCTTTTCTTATTTTCTTCACCAACTTTCAATTGACCATTTTATTCATTGAATTTTACAGATTAAATCATTTTGCTCACTCTACCGTTAACAATTTAACGGTGTTACGACATGACATAAGCATCAAAATGGTTTCGTTTTGAAAAAAAAAATATACTACAAAACGACGTCGTTTCGGTGTATAAAATAGGAGAGAGATAATTTAGTGACTCATGGTGTAATTTACCTTTCCTTTTTCTTCATTTTCTCTTCGTCAACACCATGTTTTTTTGTTCAACCGTCCAAACCGCTCTATAGATGGTGGGTCGTTCGGTCCCAAACTTCATTGGTCGGTTCGTCTCGACCCATGAGTCCGAATATGGGGTTGTTTCACCGGAAAATATCCAAAACCCGGAATTTGGACTAAACGTTTGGTTTTCCTCACTTTTAATCTCAAATTCGTAGACTTCGAAGTAAATTCTGAAAAATGAAGGTCGAATTCAGACTCAATGTGTCTAGTCGAAAGACCCATCCCATTTTAGGACCGAATGACCACCATCTACGACGATCGACGGTGACCAACGGTGACATGGACGCCTTCTTTTTTTCTTAATTGTTTTATATTAAATAAAAAAATGACATGCCATCAATTGTTAGAAAGAAAACAGTTGAGTGAGCAAAATGATTTGATTGTAAGTTCAGTGATTAAATTGATCAATTTGAAAGTTAGGTGAGGAAAATAGGTAAGAGAATATAGTTCAGTAGGAAAGGTGTAATTTACCCTTTTATTAATATGGGTAAGTATAAGGCAATATCTGTTCAAAGATAATTCTCAACTATTTAACATTGAACGCTCAAAGCCAAACATTCCTGATGCCCAAATTCATGATCTTAAGGCGAGCTCAATTTGTGCTCCTCTTAGTTATTTTATTAATATATGTAATTGAAAACATTAAATATTTTGGACAATTACACATTTAGCACCTAAACTTCAATTTCGGTATGTTTTAATATTTAAACTTTTATTTTTTTCAAAATCTTACCTAAAGTTTAGTTTGTTTTGTTTTAATACTCCACCATTAAAACTTTAGTTTTTGTTTTATTTTAGTACCCCATTCAAATTTAACGTTAAATTTTGAAAAAAAATTAAAGCTTAGGTACTAACTGGACCAAAACTAATAATTTAGGTACTCAGCATGTTAAGTTTTTAATGATAGATACTAAAATGAAATGAAAACTAAATGTTAGGTATGGTTTGAAAAAATTGAAAGTTTAGGTACTAAAACAGATTAAAACGAATAGTTTAGATACTACATATGCAGTTTACTCATGATTTTTTAAATACTATAGAATTCTTACAGTATAATATATGCTATTTCTTAAGGAACATTCTACAACACTCGATGAGTACCAGTAATCACCACTAACAATGAGCATATTAATTTAATTTATAAAAAAATAAAATCCTAAAAGGCTCAACTTATAATTATAATTAATTAAAAATTTAAAAATAAAATTATTTAAAATAAAAGATAATTATATCAGTGACTACCTAATTATTGTCCCTTTTTTATTTTGACCATCATTTTAAAATTTTATCAAAATAAATCACTCAATTATTTAAATGCATTTAATTAAATCATTTTTCGTTAATATTTAATGGAGAAACTGACGTGACAATCAAAACATTTGATAAATATGTTTTTCTTCACTGTTACATATATATTCTATCAATGTAATATTAATTTTAATAAATTAAAACAAACTTAACTCACAAATCAAATGATGTCACGCGTCACTGAAATTTACCATTTACATGTAAACTTTTTTTATTCCATTTGTGTTCCAATTGAAATACATAACTTTGTATTAATTTTAGAATTTAAAATTGCTTCAATAAATTTATTCAAAAAATATTATAAAACAATTATTAGGAAATATAACTTGAATTAGTTATATTTGTAAATTGTAGGAATCATGGAACTTTGCGAGCTTATCATTGGACATTTTTTTCATTACAGTAATTTAAATTGAATTAAAGTAAATTTTAAAATATTAAATTAAGTTTGAAAACGTGTAAACCAATTAAATGAATAAATGAAATATCAAAATGATATAAATGAAATAATAATTATGTACAAATTTTTGTTATCGAAAAACATTAATTATATGTACAGTAATTTTGGTTTATTGATTTTTTTTCAGTGATGTTTTATTGTGATGATAAATTTTAATTTGCGACGTGATACACCATTTGATTTGAGGATTAAATTTATTTTTATTAAAATTAAGATCAAATTTATAAAATATATAATTAAGAGTTAAATGATTAATGAAATGTCAAAAATAATGGTGAAAATGAAAAATGACAATAGTTTGGCGGTCACTATTGTAATTTACTGTTTATTTTAAATAATTTACTATTAATTTTTTATAAATTAAATTAATAGTGATCATTAGTACTCATTGAGCGTGATAGACTCATCTATTTCTTAATTATTGATAATATACATAATCTACAAACGTAATTGTTTGAACCTAAAATTTATAAATCGAAAATTAATTTTTTTAATAATCTGAAATAAATACAAGATAATATCTCTTCGAAGCTGACTCTCAACATTAAATGCTCGCACCCCTCACATCTATGGTGCTTGAACCCGAATCTTTAAAAATAACAACAATTCTTTTACCACGAAGATCACTTGATTCGTATTTTTAAAAGATTTAAACAATTAAAAGTTATATATTGTAATTTTTATAATAATTAGTATTAATTTGTTATTTAATCTGTATCAAAATAATAAAATATATTAGGAATATGATCTTTCTAATTCTAATTGTACCACAAATTTATATGATTAATTGACTCAATATTATCGGCCCTAAAACAGCCGATCGAACTGTGGGCGGAAAAAATATAAGTCAGGCGAGAATTTCTTTATGCTATTCGATCTTTTCATCTGGATCACGGCTAAACTCGCCATACTCTCTTCCGGCTGAACGTATATCTCCTCCCAGACATCTCTAAATAGTTTATTCAAACTCCTCCATGGCCACCCCTTCTGATAACTCTAATTCGTAAGTCTTTTCAATAATTCGTCAATTTTCCATATATTTTGTTGGCTATTTGTCGACAATCTTTCGTTTTTTTGTTTTGAATTCTCGCAGTAGGTTCTTAATAATTCTATTTCAATACGTATTCGCAGGGAAGTTGTTTATAGGAGGCAAAACAAAGGACCCCCTTTCAAGTTCCTAGTTCCTTTAGTTTATGCCCCTGTTCTCCCTTTAAGTAAGTCTAGAATCTCTCTTATTTCCCCCCACTCGGGTGATTTTGATCTCTGGGTTTCTTTTCTCAGATGTTAATTTTGTATGGGTTGTTTTTTTTTTTCGTGTTTCAGTTCGACTTTCTTTGAGGAAGAACCCGGTTTTAAGGGATCGGCTGTTTACTATTGTGTTGGCTTGGGCTTTTGTTCACGGTTCTTATTTAGTGTATCCTCATTCTATCAAACTTATTTGTTTTACTTACTATACCTGATTGTTGATTCTATGTTTTCTTTTTTCCTCTGAATCATTGGTGCTTAAATAATGCATTGGTAAATGTTGCATCTGGATGTAGGGTGAATATTCAATCGAGTCTATTCAAACAATTTTGAATTAGTGAGTTGACGAGTCCTGATTTATAACCCAAACTTTATTTGAATCTTTTTGAGTGAGTCGAGTTTATGAAATTTGAGTCGAGTATAGTGGTGTGTTCAAGTTTTTATTTATAATGGTATGGTACTAATTGATTCTAATTTTAAAAAATTTAATCATATTCATATATATATATATATATTTCTTCATACTTTTTTCATGTGATTATATATATCATGCAAAGTTGAGGAAGTCGACATGAACTTGAAAACCAATCCATGAATTTCCAAAAGCTTTGAGTTATTCAAGTCTTATTTTATAACTCAAATTTTATACAAAAATTTTGAGTCGAGTTTTGCTCACCCCGACCTATATGTTTGGCCCACTAGGTCTTGCATCCTCCAGTTTTAAATGGTTGGCTTTGACATGTCATTCAATGATTTCTATATGCAACTTATTTGCAATAGCATTGAACGATACATGTGTCTGTACAATGCATGATGCTGCTGTTGCCCCCGAGAGATTGATTCATTTGATTGCAAGGAATTGATGGATGCATATAAGCAAGATTAAGTATTATTTGGATTCTTTTTGGTTTTAAATTAAAACCACAGTGCATTTGTTTCTGAAATGTTTTAAACTGAAAAAATGGTTTCTTTAAGCTCTAATTCTCAGCATCGATTCTATATTCTGTCAGATCCAATTGTTAAGAATGCCATTTCTTCTGATTATATTAAGGAGTCATGTTTTTGGCCAAGCCTGTAGGGGGTAGATGTGTATGAAGAGGTATAATAAGATTATATTTTCTCAATATTTATAATGAAAATAACCACAAGTAATCTAAATGGTAAGATTCATACCTTATGTATGTTTTATGTATACTCCAATTATTTGTTCTTTTCTACTTAATATCCCGGAATTCAATACTATGTTGTTTTGGTAATCATGCTTCTCTATATGTATGTTTGTCCTAATTTCTAGAAACACTTGTAGATATCGTCTTGTTGTTATGTTCCTAGTTCTCTGCTTTGTTTTCCTTAATGAGTTTTCAGGTCAGATCTATACGATGCTGAGAGCAAGTGAACATGCAGAGAGTTTGGCTTGAGGAACTGATTTTTATCCCTTTAATAAGTATTCATATTTTGTGGCATAGAACAAGTTGAGTATTGTATTCTTCTCATTCCCTCTATTGAGGAATGATAATTGTGTCTCGCAGTTATAATTCATTTCGGGAGTTAATTTAGATTTTGAGGAGAAATAAGATAGGGTGATGAGCCTGCTTGTTAAACTCGAGATCGATCTGCAGGTCACACATACACATTCAGAGTTGTTTTGATGTTCTGAAGTAAAACACAGCCATCCATACATTATGCATTACTGATCTGCATCATTGTCGAGTATTTATTTTGTATCATGTGCACGAAAATTTTGGGGTTTGGGCGGAGTTCGAGTGTGTTGATCTGAAGAAAAGGAGACGGGGATCAAGTGGCTGGGTTAGTTGTGTGTTGGAACATAGTGTTAAAGTGCTCTTGGCACGATTCTTGGTTTCGTTTTCAGTAGTTCTTTCACTCGATTTTCATGTTTAGAAAAAAAAATTGCGACCACTTGGATTTGTTGGTTTTTAAGAGAAACCCTTGGAGATTTCAAAGGGGCATGCTTTGGCAACCCTGTTTCTGCACTTTCCCCTTTCGTGAGCAAAGTACCCATAGGAACCTTGAATGGACAAAGAAAGAGATGCACACTTGGGGATTGACAATTTAACTCGATTCGATAGGATCGAATTATTTAAAAAAAAAACAGCGATTGGATTTTTTAAGTGTAAGGTCTGGTCAAGTTTACGTGGAGGGTAAAAAATTTCGACTTGACTCAAGAATAATAATGACGTATCGGTAGTCATCATACGGAGTTGCCTCGCCTTATCTTCCGTGAATCGACCCGGAGGAAACCTTGCTCTCGTCGATTTTTGACCCCCCTTTCCAATTCGCCTCGTCTTGTTTTCCTCAGCTCGTTATCGGAATCAATGTAATCGGGATCGGATGATACACCAAACAGCGGCACAAACCACCAGGTCGAGGAAGACGACACGGTAACATAATGCTATGACTTGGCAAAATAATATCAACTTTGGCTGGGCTATACCAAGACTCTCAAACAATTCAGGATGTTTAATTGGAAGCTCGATAGCCTACAAACCGAAAAGTGGGTGTAAAAATTTACACCAATCCACGACGGAAAAACAGGATTAATAGTTTGCATAATCTACAATTACGGATTACTTGTGAACCATTCTTGAGCGAGTTTGAACGGATGTGGGTTCGGTCATTTATAGCGGACACAGAGAGCGCTGCCATAGCTATATAGCGGGTGATGTCGCGGTCGTCGACCGTTATTTAAATCCATGTTAAACTTAACTTGTTTAATACCTAAATTATCATTTTTGGTCCATTTTAATACTTAAACTTAAAAAAAATCAAACCTAACGTTAAATTTTAAACGGGTACTGAAATAAAAAAAACTAAACTTTAGGTATAATTTTGAAAAAATTGAAAGTTTAGATACTAAAATGGATCAAAACTAATAGTTTAGGTATTAATGTGTAATTACCCTAATATTTTCAATAATTAACATTTGTATTAGAGTTAGGTTTCTAGTTTAAGAAAAATAATTTATTTATTAAAAACATAGAAGTCTTATCTTTAAAAAAAATAGGATCAATTTGTTAAAAATGTAAACAGTGAGGGCTAAATTTATGATTTTACCCGGTAAGATTTACCAAGATCGTAAATTTAAAGAACGGCAGGGCTACTTCAGTAAAGGTGTGTTTTTTCCTTGCGAGTTCATCTTCGATTCGAATATATAAAGTACTTTCAGTTTCTTATCTCCGAGTCCAGACCGCAAGCATTAACCTTTAGCCTTCAAACCAAATTCTCTGTTTTCTTTCTCCATTAATCTTTGATTTTCTCGGTTTATTCTTCTTTCTCTGGAGCGGGAAGATGTCCGGGAAAGGCGCCAAAGGTTTGACCACCGGCAAAACCCTCGCTTCCTACAAGGACAAGGACAAGAAGAAACCCATCTCTCGTTCTTCTCGAGCTGGTCTCCAGGTACTTTTTCTTTTCCCTTTTCACTATCCTTGTGATTTTTTTATCCGGGTTTTTTGTCTGGTCTCCAGGATTAGTGCTTGAACTTGAGTGTATGAATGGGTCTTTAATTACATGGTGTCTTAAGCATGTTTAGAAGAAACAATTTATGGTAGTTTAGAAATAAAACTGGCTCAAAAGGCTGTATATCTGTTGTGATTTCGTTGCTTAGGATGCAGATCGAATTGATATCGGAAATCAGGATGTTTGGATTCGAATACTAGGTCCTATATGTCTCAGCTGTGTTGGTTGTGTTTGTGAATCACTGCTTTGGGTATAGCTAGAGGTTGGAGCTTTACATGTTATTGTATCTCGTTGTTGAATTTTTTGTATGATGTTGTAACCTGCAGTCCCGTGGGTCGTATCCATCGTCTGCTTAAGCAAAGGACCACGGCACACGGGAGAGTAGAGACGGCTGCGGTTTATTCTGCTGCTATCCTGGAATATTTGACTGCCGAGGTGTTGGAGTTGGCCGGAAACGCGAGCAAGGATCTGAAGGTGAAACGTATTACCCCCAGACACCTGCATTGCGATCCGTGGTGATGAGGAACTCGATACCTGATTAAGGGAACCATTGCGTGGCGGTGTGATCCCTCATATCCACAAGTCACTCATCAACAGTCATCCAAGGATAGACTGATGCTTCATTGCTTGCAGGGATTTGCCATGCCAATATCTCAGCTGCATTTTTAGCTGTGAGGTTTAAACTTAAAAACAATAGGCTGAAGCTTAAAATAGCGTTTTATGCGTTAGTTATGTTGAAACTTAGGTCGAGACCGGTATTTTCTTTTTCGTTTTCGCAGACAATAGTGGCATTGTTTTACAGATTGACTGAACTTGTTGCTTTTGAATAGTTAACATATTGAACTAGCTTTAAGGTCATTGATGTGGTATAATATTAGATGTTATCTCGTATGATCGAATCGCTTGTCCTGCAGACTATTCTTGCATTTTCTTCCTGCTCTTATGTGCATGAAGATCAAATTTTAGACCATATCACAAGCCTCACTATGCAAAAGAAAATTGTTCTAGTGTCTCGATAACTCAAATCAATGCATCGCCTAATTTTGTTACATGCATTGTTGCATTCGAGTCCGGAATCGAATGTTACTTGCCATGTCCTGTCCCCCCTTTCCTAATCCTACCCTTAGCTTCCGTATACGCCGATTCGTGCAAAAGTGAACTTAGATTGTTGCCTGCCTAACGGTAAGGATTGTTCTGATGGTTCCGTGTGCCGTTCCGATAGCTGCAGATTCTTCTCGGTTCATCCAAAACACCTCTTCCACCAGCATGATCAGGTTAAAATTTGCTCATAATTAAGCGTCGTCATAAGTATAGTTTATCCTTTCTCTCCCCCATAGCCTTTGAAAACGCTGCCTTATTTGTCATTCAAATCACTCTGAAGAGCGAACTTTCCTTCCTCTCGTTTTGTTAGGGTAAATTACGTATTTAGTACCTAATCATCAGTTTTAATCTAATTTAATATCTAAACTTTCAATTTTTTTAAAATCATACTAACGTTTAATTTTCATTTCATTATAGTACTCCGTTAAAATTTAACATGTTTAGCATATAAACTATCGATTTTGGTTTGTTTAGTACTTAATTTTTTTAAAAAAATATTGTAAATTTTTGAACTGGTATTAAAATGAAATAAAAAATAAATTTTAATGGTGAGATACTAAAATGAAATAAAATTAACTTTAGATATAATTTTTAACAAATTAAAAATTTAGGTATTAAAACGAGTCAAAATTAATAATTAGATACTAAACATGTAATTTACCCTTTTTCATTGCGATGGGAAAATTCTGACTCCATATCTGTCCTTCTCGCCAGTATTACCAAATAAAAAACGCGGATTTTGCTTTAAGGTCTTTCAAAATCATTCCAAGATCCCTGATTCATCTTGTCGGTGACTATGTTTCGAAATTATTCATCTTTTAAATCTGTCCCCCCCCCCTTTAATTACTTTTAGATCAATACCATATCTCGTTTCTCTTTATTTTGTCATAATTCCGACTTATGCATCTTCCATATCTCAATTTTGCTTAAGATCTACTGATTTTAGCTTCTGGGTGTCTGCTAGTAAGGGGAAATGTCGACAATTAGATTGATTCCACTAAACAATACTATGCTACGAGCAGTTGGTCGTTGGTTATGCACTATGTCAAGTTTACTCGCTGTTATCAACAAATTTGCAATAACCAAATTCAACTACCCAGGCTTATTAACTGCATTACAGTACTTGACTTCTGCTTTAGGGGTCTGGGTTTGGGGAAGTTGGGTTTTTACACCATGACCCTTTCACTTTGGATGTTGCCAAGAAGTTTTTGCTGCTGCTATTGTGTTTTACCTTGCAATCTTCACGAACACCAATCTTTTGCTCCATGCCAATGTCGATACTTCATAGTGTTAGATCCTTGACACCCTTTGGTGCCATAGCCGATACGACCTTTAGGCGGCAGCCCTGCCGTCGAAGCTAACGTTTATGTCTTTGTTGATCATTCTGGGTGGTGCTGTTGGCTGTGGCCACCGATTCGGCGTTTACGATCTCCGCCTATTCGTGGGCGGTTGCTTATTTGGTTACCATTACTACTGAGATGGTTTATTAAGCATATGATGAATCTTGGGTTGAACACTTGGGGTTTTGTCTGTACAACAACTTGTTATCGTTGATGATGGCGCCGGGACCGATACAGAGATGTGTTACTGCTTTGAGAGCCAATGCAGGGATTGGTTCGAACCTGTGTCGTTCACTGCGGTGTTTTGTCGTGTTTGTTCGGTTTGCTCATAAGTTTCTTGGATTTGCAGCTAGGAGGGCGATCTCCGCTACGGCATTTACCGTGACGGTGTGTTAGTAAGTTCCTCACGGTTGTGATCAATGTGTTGATTTGGGATAAGCATGCCACTCCTTTCGGTTTGGTTTGCCTCCTCTTCACGCTGGCGGGAGGGATTCTTTCAACAGTCGTTACTGGACTGCCTCGTGAACCAACTGCATCTAAGCAGACTGGTGATGAGGATGAGAACGATGATGTGGAAGATGATCAAGGTAAGAGTGTATCTGGTAAACATGTTTCTGTATGAGAAGTATTGTTTCTTATGTTTCATGGTTTGGCCACTAAGAAAAGACTCTTGGGATTCATGATCTAGTCTCCCATTTTTAGAATTTAAACATGCTTAGTTCTTAGCCCTTTAGCACTCGTGATATATGAATCACTATGTTTCGAGTTCG